TTTTTGTGTGTCATACAGTTTACTGTGAAAGTCAGAGAGAGTAATTTTCAGTTTCACCTTCAGTAAAAGAGTAACCACTGATAACAGTGCCTCCCTCAAAACGCAGCGATACAGGCACACACGTACCTGGCCTGACCGTGTCCAAGTAAGCAAGCACTAGGAGGAGGAGCACCGTCTGCCCATTTCCTTAATGACTTCCTTCACTTGGCTATTTAGTTTTCCATAATTCACAGCTGACAAGAGTTAAGGAAAACTGTATTAGACTTGAACCTCCTATTCTGCCATTTTCTGAAAAATTAATTCTCTCCTCCAGGGTTTGCAGTTACCTCCATTTTATGTTAAATTAATTCATAGTTATTCTTAGGTCTGTTACTAGGGACCTTTTAGTCGGGTCACTTGATTTGTCCATTTCTGTATTAGTATACACTGTCTTTAATTATGGAACCTTTATAATACAATTTAATAGCCAATGTGGCACATTCCTCCTCATTATTACTTTTTCAAAAATTTTGGCAGCCTCTCACACGTTTATTCTTCCAGATGAAGTTTAGACTAATTTCCTAGCATTAAAAATAATGCTGATACTTAGATTTTTTTCTTAGAATTATGTACTTTTATAGTCTGGGTAACAGTGACATTTTTACTTTGAAGGTTCCTATCTAGGAATGTGCTTTTTCCATTTGCTCAGATTTTCTTATGTCTCAGCAAAGTTTTATAGTTTTCTTCTGAGATCCTTCCCAAACTGTTAGGTGTGTTCCTAAATAGGCAATGTTTGCTTTTTTTTTTTTTTTTTGCTATTGTGCATAACGTATCTTTCTAGATAAGGAGAGCACATTGGATTTCCATGCCCCTATGTTTCTTTTCCTTTGCCAGAGCAGTGGAGATGCAGGCAGGAGCACAGGTGTGCTCAGAGGCTCGCACGTGGAGCAAGTGGAAGTGAGGCGTGTGCTTCCCTCTGAACCTTTTACCCCTGCCCTCTACATGATGTGGGTGGCCACAAAGGAGTCTTTTACTTTTGCATTCATTAGCTGTATAAAATCTTTGCTAATTTTTTAAATGTAAAAAAATAGTACCTTTAGCATAAGTAATATGTGTTTCCATAGAAACAGGGTTAGATTTTTCCATTAAATCTTTTAATGGCAAAAGATGTCCATTTTCTCTAAGGAAGAGTTCAGTGAATTGGGTTTTAGCAGAGCGCCTCTATCTACCTAGTGAGACACTCTGAGTTCCCTGTTGATTTTAAAAAGAGTATTAGAGTGCTATAATTGCTGTTTGTTCCTGGTAATTATCCTTTTACAGAGGAACCTGGGATTGAAAGAATAGCTGCTACCATATATGGAGCGCTCCATGTCAGCCCTGGCCAGGGGCTTCCAGACCTTCTCAGTTACACTCCTCCCAACAGCCCTCCTGCTCGCACTGTCATCCTCCCCACAGCTGAGGCGATGAAGCTGCATGGAGTGAAGTTATTCACTCAAGGTCACGCAGGGAGACCTGGCAAAGCCAGGATCCTAAACCTTGTCTCTTCATTGCTATGCTAACGTGGTTTTATGGTTACTGGCAAATTCATAATATAAAAATTTAAATAGAAATTTCTTTTAGAAAGTACTAAAGAGAAGTTAGTTATCACCAGTTATGGGTGACGCCTGATTCTGAGGGTCATTGATTACAGTTCAGATCAAAGATTGGTTTCTTTATGCCACTATAGACCAAAGGTGTATCAGCCCATTCAGAATAATTAAAGTGATGTTCCTGAAGAGTCAGCAGCTGACAGGTGTCAAGGTGCGTGACCTAGGTCCAAAGTAGTTGGCTCAGTGAAGAAAGTAGTAGTTGGATGAGAGATTGAGTATTCAGCACAACCCTTTTCTGCTGGGAATGTGGAGCTGGGAGGCAGCTCTTGGCAATAGGAGGGCTGTCTGCAGAAAGTGTGATGGGAGGGAACACACAGAGGAGTCAGAATGAAGTACCACATGGTCTTGTTGTAAAGAGAGTTAGACCTGGTTCAAAATAGGACACTGGGTCCCTCCTAGAGAACCAGAACCCCTTAGTAGGGGAGTGATCAGATGAGGGGATTGCTGAGACAGATGCTCCTCTGCTTGTTTGAGATCTGAGCACTCCAGGGGTGCTGGTGGCACCTGAAGGATTCCCCCACTGGTTGGGGGTCCTCAGTGGGAGCTGTTACAAGGACCTGTTGGCTTTTGCTCCTGGTTCAGAAATTGAATTTCACTACAGTGGGATGGAACAGAACCTGCTTAATATACTCCTCCCTCCCTGTGGTTGGCCCTGGCCAGGGGATGTGTCTGCAGGTGGTGGCAGATGGGCAGGACAGCCATTAGGTTGGAGCATTGAGGCCCGAGAGAAGGCCTGTGCAGGCACTGCCAAAGACAAGTTGGCTTTGGGTCCCTGTAAAAATCAAGAAAGCACTCTGGTCCTATTTTCATAGAACTAGGCCAGAAAACACTGAATGAACATGTATTATCCTCAGCCTGATTAGTCAAATGGCTTGATTTCTAGCTTCACAACTCGGTTGCTCTTTGGAAGCCCACATTTGGGTGGTGAAATTTGTACTTTCGAGACTAAACTCCCTGAGTAACTTGAAATGACCATGCACGGAAAGATGACATTATTATATTTTTATCAATAGACAAACTTCCTAAAAAAATTACACACTCATATCTATAGATAAACCCACATCATAAAAGGACTAATGACACTATCCTGAATCATGCAGTCGCTGCAAATAACAAGCAGGCTAAAAAATGTCTGAATACAATTCAAATGTTTGAATTCAGTTTCCTAGTTTGGCAGTTAATCTGTTAGCTCTGGATTTTCCCCCCTCATTCAGTCATGCGTGAAGCAATCCTCTACAGTGAGTCTTTGCATGTGTCCATTCCATGTGGACAGGTTTTCAGAGCAAATGGCTGCCTTATAAAATAGACATTTGTACTATTAATTTCCCTAGCTTGGGAACAAATGTTTTACTCCTTGAGTTTATCAAGGCTTAGTGGGCTGTTGGAGCACCTAGGATATCTCCTTTAAATTCCAGAAGAAAAAGGAGGCTCAGAGCAGATGAGGCTGAGGATTCAAAAGGATGTCTAGTGTACCATTGCCTTGGGGTGCCAAATCTTGATGTAAAGGATGTAATTTCCTCCATCAGTATTTTGCATGTCAACCTATCTTGGAACTTTTGGAAGCAATGTTCCTCTTTCATCTGCATTCCCACCTTTTACTACTGTGAAATTTTTGAGAAGGAGGAGGAACAAATTAAGTTGTCTCCCAGTTCAGTCAGAGAGTAGCTTCCCAGTTTAGGAGAGCTGTGCTCCAGGTTGCCATGTATGGGCCCTGAACCCTGAGCACTGTGGAAGGTGTATGATGTAGTTGAAATGGACCCTGTCCTCGAGAAGCTTATAGTCTAGCTGAATAGATGACAGCTCATTCTTCAAACACTAAGCATGTGTGGGGGGAGGCATTATGGTAAGCTGCAACCCAAAATTTCTAAGGAGTTTGCAATGAATAATTAAGCAACTCTCAGTTCAGGCAGGACAGTGCACTACCCAATGAATAGTATAAACAAGTACTCAGAAGATGGAGGGGTCACTGTGGGCTGGATTCACCTGCGGAGGCTTGAAGGAGGTGGTGGACTGAAGAAAAAACTCCAAATCTTGGCCATTCCTCATATCCATGGTTCTTCTAGAATACCCAGACCAAAGGTTCAGTTAATCAGTTTCCAAAACTTGGGGGGCTCGAGTGCTTCTGGTCAGCCTGTGATTAAAGGTTCTCTCTTCTGTGTATTGCTGTGGCTTCCTCTTCAGCCTTTGTCCCTCCTCCTCACTGTGCTCTTGCGCTGTTCTGCCACACTCCAGCTCAACATGTGGTTTTCTCCAGCTGTTCGGCATGTTTGTCAGTATAGTAATGCCAATGATACACTTTTTCCTTAAATGTTTTTAATTTTTTGAATTGTCGTTTACAGGGCTGAAAAACCAAAAAGTATAAAAAAACGAGTAAAGATTCCTTTCCTTTTCTTAGCCTGGACCGACTCTTCCAGAGTCCTCCCTGCCTAGCCAGTTACTAGTTTCTAATGTAATCATTCCAGATTTTATATCCATACAAGAAAACATGAATGTAATTTGCTTTCCTCCATTTTTATTCCAAGATAGCCTGCCACACGCATAGTATGAGATCTTAATTTTTCTAAGACCTCTTGCCTAATAGTTCATAGGGCACATTATCATTCATGTTCCAAAGCTGTTTAGATGTATCATAAAATTTTATCAGTTCAGTCTTTGCTATTACAAAGAAAGCTATAAAGGGCCCCCCACCCCCCTCCGGTGGCACAGCAGTTGAGCGCTGGGTTGCGAAGCTGCCCGCAGCCTCTGCAGCACCAGTTCAATCCCCAGCCGCCGGCGAGGGTCCCACATGACGCACAGACCTCTCCTGCGGCCCGCTGCTCCCCTCAGCAGTGTACTTCGTCAGTCTGCTTATTCTGCTCTCCGCTCTGGCTCTGGTGAATTCCCTCACCCTCCCGCGCTTCTGACTGTACCCAGTGCTTGAATAAATAAATCTTTAAAAAAAAAAAAAAAAAAAGGCTATAAGGACTAAGCACACACAGAGGTCCTTCACATGTGTAAATACTATATTCAGCAATAAGGTTATGATGATTTTAGTGATCACAGTAGGGGAAAGACAATTCTCACCCATGGCAATATTTTCTAAATTTGAGTGTCTGTGGGTCACTGTAACCCAAAAACCTGATAGTAGTAGATATTAGCCCCCATCCCAATTCCTGTATTATAAACAGATTTAATGTTAGAAAGCCCTGGATTTTGCTACTCCTGGGTTTTCACTGAGCTATTTGGTTTCAAAAGATTTTATTTGGCAAAGAGATCATTGGGGCATTTGCCATCATAGCGCCTAGGCAGCTTCACATTCATAAAACTTAACTCTTCTTGCCCACATTTTGGGCCACTCAAACTCAAATGTTCCTGTGGTCTTGTTTTTTGCAGACGGGCCCATCTTCGCTTGTGCCTGGAGAAGTTGAAGGGGCTGGTACCACTTGGGCCCGAATCAAGTAGACACACTACTTTGAGTTTATTAACAAAAGCCAAATTGCACATAAAGGTAAGTATATCCTTGGGGAGTTGTCTTAGCCTCACTTGTGCAGTAAGGGCCAGCTGTTGTTGTATGGGACAGCAAGTGTGTAGCTCCAGGACAGTGCTCCCTTTGGACGCTTCCAGCCTGCCTCATGGATGAATCACAGGCACCCCAAACTCAACACATCCAGAACCCAGCTGAATATTTCTCACCCCTATGCACCAGGAGTTAAATGGCCACCCAGCCATCCGATTGTTGAAGCCAGAAACTCCCGTCGTCTATGGTTCTTGCTCCTTAGTCATCTCAGTCATCTCCAAGACCTAAATATTTTTCAGCCTGCTCTGCCTCTACCTTCACCCGACCATCATCACTGCGGTAAACTCCTCAGACGTCTCCCTACATTCCTCTACCCTGACTCCCCATAGCTGCTCTCCTTGCTTCCTGAGAACAGTCCTCCCAAACATAGCACCTTGTTGCAAATTCTTCTGTGCCTCAGGTCACTGTCACCAAACCTGCTTCAGGTTCAGCCTGACCTCGCCCGCCTGTGTGGCAGCCTCTTGCACCCTACGCTCTCCTCTGCTTCCCCGGCTTTCAGTCCTCACACTTGTCATTGCTCTTACCTCAGGGCCTTTGTACAAGCTGTTTCACTGTTTGGTGCATTTTCTCCTCCCTTCTTCACCCAGTTAACTTCTCATCCTTCGGATCTCAGCACAGGTATCACTAGCTCTGGGAAGCCTTCCCTGACCTGATTACCTCCTTCCTCATGGGTGGGCCTATCATTGGGTGTCGCTCTTGCAGCAGTCGCCATGGCAGATGTTGGTTTGTGTGACTCTTTGGCTGTCTCCATTGTGAGAATGAATGTATACTCCACAACGGAAGCTGTCCTCACCCTGCCTCCCCCACCCATCTGGCATAGACTCGGCCCTCAGTACGTTGCTTGAACAGCACAGGGTAAAGGAGTAGTATGCCCTCTCCTGAGCGCCGTGGCCAGATCACCGTTCAGCACATGTATATAGTGTAGTGACTGACATATGTCACTTTAGTTATGGTTAGTAGCCTGTATACATGACAGTTTTGGGGAAAAAGAACCTGTTTAGGGCAAAAGCTTATCAATCTTCTTAATCGTCTCAATAATGAGAAGCTACAGGAGAGGTTTGTAAAAACATGTGGTCTATGGAAATGTTTTCTGTGCTCTTTTGCTGGACAATTTGGAATCAGGATTTCCAGGGCATTAGCTACTTCCTGCTAACAAACAAGTTAGTTGAGTGGGCAGGACAGGAATTAGTGTACTGTCATAGGGCCATGTATTTAGAGAAACATTTTTAAGTGGAAATGTGTTTAAGCGCCATCGCATGCAGTGTCCTAGTTGGGACAGATTAGGTGTTTGGGGTGTCACTGCAGACAAGGAGACCTGTCTTTTCAGTATCAAGCCAAGGGCTCCGACTCCCCAGGACCCCCGTGAAGCTCTAGGTCCCCACAGTATTGTCAATACTGAAGTTAGAAGAAAACAGGAGCCACTGACCAGTCAACTTCCCATCTCTGTGAGAAACTTGACAAGTCACACACCCAATGGCGTCTGAGGAAAACTGGCCGATCTCATTGCTAGAGAGGAAGATGCAGGGTCATTGCCTGTTTTGAAACATGCCTGTGGGCTCCAACCACTACCCCTCTGACTTGCAGAAACTTGAAGATTGTGACAGAAAAGCCATTCACCAAATAGACCAGCTTCAGCGAGAGCAGCGACACCTGAAGAGGCAGCTGGAGAAGCTGGGCATCGAGCGGATACGGATGGACAGCATCGGCTCCACGGTCTCCTCAGAGCGTTCGGACTCCGACCGGGGTGAGCCGCACTCCATGCTCCTCATGTCCTCCCCGCACCCCTCCCCTCCCCGTCCCACAGGTCAGAGGCCGAACAGAGAAGAACTATACCCGTTTGTGATTGAGGGCTTAGTGTGACCTCCAGCAACAAGTCCCTCTCGCCTTCCGTGTCCAAAGCGGGGCCTGCCTGGGGTCGCTTTGTCATCCAGCCTGAGTTTTCTAACGATGACGTCACCAATGTCTCTCTCTTGTCCTCCCTACAGAAGAAATCGATGTTGACGTTGAAAGCACAGACTATCTCACGGGGGATCTGGACTGGAGCAGCAGCAGCGTGAGCGATTCTGACGAGCGGGGAAGCATGCAGAGCCTGGGCAGTGACGAGGGCTACTCCAGCGCCAGCATCAAGAGAATAAAGCTCCAGGACAATCACAAGACGTGTCTGGGTCTATAAGAGTGGTCGCCCCAGCTGCCTCCAGGATGGTTCTGTCGGATCTGATTAGGTAGTGTATCGGACCTGCCCACGATTCCCTTGCACGTCAACTTCAGTGTACCACCTTTACCAAAATCAGCTTTGTAAGAGTTTTCAAGGAAGTGCTTAGGATTGTGGGTTTCTGACTGCATCCAGTAGCTTCTCTCTCTCTCTCCATAAAAATTCGTCTCTGAGAGACCGTACATTCCAATCAATTTGAAGCACCCAAGAATTCTTAGACCGAATAAGCGACTTTCACATCTCAGCACTTACCCCTTTACTGCCCCCGGGTTGTCTACCAGACCTTTCTTAAAGTTCTCCAGCTCACTATATTACTTGCCTAGCAGAAAATGCCCGAATGTGTCTTGTGCTTAGGAAACTGAAGGAAACAAACTTCTCAAGCTGAGATCCTGATCTCAGAACTCCAAAGTAAGCTTTGAAAGCAGCGTTTGAGAGCACTTAACCATGGACCTTACCCCAGGGAGGAGTCAGGAATACCTCCAGAAAGCACCCCTCACACAGCCGCGCTAACCGCCCGACCCGCGTGTGGAGGAGAGCAGGATTTCTCACTCTAAAACGGACACCTTGATAGCACGTCTCTGGGGCTGCCCAGCTTCTCAAAGTTCCAACCTTGTTTGTTCTCACAAACAAAACGGTACAATCTTTGTGCGATGCTCTTGGGGCCGCGCTGTGTTCTGCTCTCCCGAGGCACATTTCCCCTCGAAGTTTGTTATGCTACTTGTCTCTGGAACTTTTTTTTTTCCTACCTCAGAGATAAATGAGATCTCCATTTCCCACTTAACACAAAGTGATTATGCCTCCTTTTTTCCCAAATAAGTGACATTTGGTCCAATTCTAATCTATTTTCCTATTTAACTTTCAGCAATAACTGAGCTTTGGCACTAGCTGAGCTAGTGTCCACCACCAGTGAGAGGAAAAGTCCACATTTCTGCTCTGTTGCAGGTGACAGGAGGGGATGGTACGGAATTACCAGAATTCCTCTCCTTATTTTTGGATATACCCAGAAACTTCTTTATGGAGGCTTTTGGGTTGATAGTTTCAAAGGCTGATTTTTTTTGGGTTATGATTTCTCCCTTAAGTGGTCTCCCACTTTGTAGCATTTTTATTTAAGCTAAAACAGAGCACATGTATATGTACATAAGACACATTAAATCTATAAATACTATTTATTCATTTTATATAAACTAATGTAATGGAAAATAAATTCTTATGACTTTGTGCTTTTATAGATGTCCTAGAAACTTTGTATGTAGGAATCTACAAAATTGACTCATCCCCCTTAATATTTTTGCATTCATATTTTTGAGGTCTTGCTGTTTTCAGCCTCTGCCGAATCTTTTTCATTGAATTTGAACCATTTGTAAAATCTGTGACGCTGAAACAGAGTGTGTGTCACAAAGCGATGAGAACATTCCTAAAACCCACTGCAACCTAAGGGCTCCACAGCTGAAGCAGCAGTGCCGGCCGCCCTGGGCTCCTGCTGGCCTGCGGCTCCTGCTCACCCCAGCCTCGCCGCTCCTCCACCGCCACACAGCTAGAGTGAAAGCCCAGACACACCCTGCCAGGCTCGTTCCACACACGAAGAACAGTCGAAACGCGAGATTACTTTTGCGTTGGCTTTTTCTTTTGAATGATTCTTTAATATATTAAAAATATTTTTAATATATTAAAAATATTTAATTGGCAGTAGTGGATTCCTAAAATGATTCCGAAGTCATCTGTAATTCTTTTTTTCCTTCTTCATTTCCACTTTGGGGGGTGGGGGAGGAGGAACAGGCGACACAAAGGATTTTTTTTTTTTAATCATTGGAATCTTTTCCAACTACCAGCTGAAGATTTGCACTGAAATACAACTTGTATGCCTTTTGCATTTTTAAGCCTGCCTGAATTGAAGCAGAGTGATAGTGTTCAAAGAGCCAGCTCAGCCTGTAACATGTTTGAAAAAGATATCTGCACTTTGGGGTCCCTTTTGGATGCCATTCGCTACACCTCGTGAGCATTTTGTTAAATTGCTACGTTCAAGCGCCTCACAAGTCCACGATGCTAGATGCTATAAGGCATTGAAAACTCAAGACTTTGGGAAAAGCTTGTGGGCTTACACTGGGGGAGGGAAGGGAACAAAATTTGTGTATTTGTTTAATTTAGAAATAAGGCATCGAAGAGATGCCATTATTCTCTGTGTTTTAATTGTTGTGCCTTTGAGTTAAATTACATTTTTGTCTTTTGGTTGAAATATGAAATGTACTGTCCCAATATAAAACAGTAATTATTTGACCTTTGCACTGTTTGTCTGGTCCTTTTCAATTTGATTGCATATAAATGTGGGACTGGATGGAGCTATGTTTTTAATGCACTTGTGATAACTGACACCAGGGTTGGATAGGACTTTCAGAGCTCAAGGTAGACCGAGTCAACATGTTAGACAGGCCTCTTTCTAACCAAAACTAACTTCCAGGACCAGCAAACTCACCCTAAGGCAGCTGATCCCCTTCCCCACACGGCTGATGGGCAGCCCTGACTCACCGATCTGTCCTCATTCACTGAGCCACCAGCATGACTGTTCTGAGCTGTACAGTCTTTTTGGTTTTGTGTTTTTTTTTTTTTTAAGCAAAATAGAAACATTTCTATTCGGGTTGTTTGGGGAAAGCGGGGGGGGGGGCAAATATATAAACCCCAGCCTTTAAGACTTTGACAATTGTACGTAAATAGAGATGTGTATAAATATAGGCACATGCATATTTTTATGTGAAAGTTGATTTTAAAAAACAAAAAAAAATCTAAACTATACTTATTGATACCATTGCAATGCAAATGGGAAAATATAAGACTACGTAGTCCAATTTAATTTCATGCAGTGAGAAAATATATATGTGTGCTTCTGTTGCCATCCCAGAAAACACAGCTTGCTATCCACACCTTGCTGGCTTAGAGTGGTGGGCTGAGCACCCAGGGTATTTTTTTGTTTGGGTTTTTTGCTAAGCTGAGATTTTGAATTTCAGGTGCTGATGTGACTGTCAGCAATTTTCTGTAGTCACAGATCTAATGCCAATTAATGATTCAAAGAGCATCATATTTTTGAGCAGGACCTAGTTCCTTCTCCCTGTCAACCCAAGACCAAAATAATTTCAGTGTCAATTCAGAATTGAGAACTAAGTAGGCCCTGACCCTGCAATCCGCCCCTTGAATGGTTGCAGCTTATTTTTAAGGTGGGCATTTCCTTTAACCTTTTATCAAAAGTAACAAAGGTCTCACCTGGACTTCACATAGGTGTCCCCTCTTCATTCCAGAAGTGGCCCAGAGCTGATCCTAAAAGGGGAGGGGGGGGTGGGAAATTGCAGGGGAAGAAATGTGGACTAGGTAAATTGTGATGCTCAGAACAATTGGCTAGCGATATCTTGTGGCTTTGCTAATGGACTTTTTGGGTTTTGTTTTCCTTCTTGCCCCTCCCCCATCCTTAAGAAAGAAAACTTATTTTTAAAGAGTATATATACACACACACATTATTTAGGTTGTTATATTGCACTGCATTGGCAAGAATATCACTTTCATTGTCCTTTATGATCATTTATTCCCCCAAAACTCACTCTCTTTTTTCTCACGTTTGTCTTTCCTTTACCTGCCCTGCGTGTTGAACACCAGAAAGTCAAAGACTCCAAGACAATTTCTTGCATGTCAGTCTTTTTTTATGTCTGACTCTTGGATGCTGGATGTTTAGGTAGCTGGCTACTCCTCACTTAAAATTCCTTCCTGGAGGAAGATAACCAAAAGACCCTTTAAATGAGATGGTTTTTCCTCATCAGATAAGATCTCTGTAGACTATGGGATGTTTTGATTTCAAAGATACCTGGGGGTGGGAGTGCAATATATGATTTATCATGATTGTTTTCACTAACGTTACATGGACAACTTTCTTACATTCTTCTGAAAGAAATATTTGCCTGGCTCTGCTAGATTCAGCTACTGAATAGCTAAAGAAATTGAGTATCTGTCTTCTCTCAAAATCATAGACTGAGAATTAGTTAGGCACCAAATTTAAGATTTACCCAGATTTTTAATTTTGATTACTTATTCTATTTGGGAGGGTAGGGGGTTGAGGGGACATTCTTCATTTTAGCTTTTACCTGAGAATCAAACTTGCCTTTACCCCCCATTCCCTAGATTGGTGCTCTGGGGATACTGTCAACCATCAACGTTAGGGGCATCTTCCTAGTGGTAAATGCAACCTAGACAGGGAGCAGCAGGTGAGAGTGTGAAATTCTTTCCAGATGTTTATTTCTTTATGTAAATACGCCAATGTAAATCCTGTGTCAAGACATAGAGAATGGTGCTTTTTACTACAGTTAGCACATGCATTTTTAGAACTACATGTTTTAGAAAATCTTTGCTGTGTATATGTAAACTTCTATATTGTTTAACCGTTAACAAATAATAAATTATTTCATTATGAAAGAAATTTTGGCCTTCCTGATGTTTTGTGCCCAGCTCAATCTCTCACAGTGTTTACCTACAGAACTGAGTTCATAGATCCTTTTTAATTTCATGGACAATTCATTGGCCAAAAGTCTTCAACCTCTGGAGTCTATGGTACAAATTTCGATTGTATGACTTTGGCTGAGCCCATTCGTTGATCAGAATTAGTAATTGCCGGCTGCCTCACTTACCCACTTCTGCTCACGCACTGGCTCTGTGATACATGGGCAATGTGCCAGGGATGTGGGACCCGCAAGACTTCACCATCTCCCAGCAGCCCATGGCCAGGCGGGAAAGACAGAGCGACACTCAGGCTCAAATGCAGTAAACTTAGTTAAGGAATAAAGTTGTACAAGGAAGTGTTAAAGGGAATCACAGAGGTGGTGGCATGCGAGTTGAGCCCAGGTGAGAGAGGGCCTTAGCCAGAAACCCTGCAGGGAGACCAAGAAGTCCGAGAGGGAAAGAACAGCCAGTGCAAGAGGGCTGCAGTCAGCAAAGGGCACTGCACCCCGTGTGGCTGGGGTGTGGCCCGGAGGACAAGGGTCAAGGGGTGGGTGGGGGGGGGTCTTCTGGGAAGACACCAGGCTGTCAAAGACCCTGTGCTCCACACAATTCACAAAGGGGAGAAAAAGACAACCTGGTTTAAAATGTTAGTTCTTTTGTATATTAACTCCTTTAATTTACATTTATTCATTTAGCAAAGGGGGACCGAACACCTTTGAGCCAGGCTCTGGCACAGAGCTGAACACCTTTCAATGAACGAAACTCCAAATCCCTGCCCTCTGGGGGCAGCCCTGGGACCATGACCTCCTGGCGCATCATCCTGACCTGTCCGGATCTGGGCTCGCGCCCCAGAAAAGCACTTGCATAGAGTTAGTAAGGGGAGAGGCGTCTTTCTCCGTCATGACCAAGGACTCTTATTCCAAAAACCACCAAAAATTTTTGAAAGGTGTGTAGAGTTCCCTAGAAGTCAGCGCGTGCTGGCGAGGAGGGTAAGCGAGAGCAGCTCTCTGGAACCTCTACTTGGGAAAGGTGGTCGGCAATCCTGCTCTCTCTGCGGCTCAGGGCCGGCATGCCTCGCCCTGCCTGCGCATGTGATGCCAGGATCCATCTCTGGACAGGCTCCAAATTGAACCCCCAAAGAACAAATTACCACCACCACCGAAGAAAGCTCAGTTCTCCATAACATCAGGGTCCTTGTTTACTGTGGCGGAGAGGAAGCTTTGAACCGCAGAGAATTAAGACAACGCTCACAGAAAGATAGTTCCCCACAGCCCCAAAGATGACACATCTCATTTCCAAGGTTTCCTGGTTTTGTTCTCAGAAGCCTGATGAAAAGGGTCTTTCGTGGGTTCATGTCATAATCATGGTCATCTCACACGTACTGAGACACAGGGCTAGAGAAGTTCACTGAGGGCCTCCCTGGTGGTGCAGGGGTTAAAGTCTCAGCACTATCAAGATTTCGCCAGCCACTGTGGCAGGAGTTTGATCCCCCGCCAGGGAGCTACCCACATGGCACGGCAGACCTCTCCTGTCTCACCCGCTGCTGCCCTCCGCGGTGTATTTCAGTGGATCTGCCTGTTCTGTTCCCCACTCTGTCTCTGGTGAATCCTCTTACCTCCTGCAACTCTGGCCTACATCCTAGTTCTTGTATGCATAATAAATCTTTTGGGAAAAAAACGTTCACTGAGGCCCTGGGGATGATCTTGGCCTAACCTGGGGACAGAGGTGACCAAAGGTCAAGGCAGGGGAATTCTGTGTCTGTCCTGAATATGTCTACCTTCAAGGAAACCCATGGCTCTGGGAAAGAAGGCACCTGGGAGGCCCAGGGGACAGAGGAAGAGAGAAGCACCCCAGCCACACCAGCCACACCAGCCCAGGCTGTGAAGCTCCTGAAGGCAACCTGTTGTTGAGAGACCAAATAACCACCTGCTGCAAAGTTCACTTAGTTAAAAACAATGTCTGACAAACCCCTGCCTTGCCTGATAGCCCCATCAGCGAGAGGGTGCTATTATCAGGAAACACTGGAGCTAATGCTGATCAACAAAGGGCAAGCGGGCTGCCCAAGTGAAATGAGAGGTCCCGGGAGGTGAGAGGGGGCATGTCCCTGAGTAACCCTAGAGGGGTTCCTGGGTGATGACTGAGCGCACCAATTCTGGTCAAACAGATCCAAGGGCCAACGCCAACTTGACTCCTGACACACTGGGTGACCTGGGCACATGTCCCCGGCTCTGTGCTCCCAATCTATAAAGTCAGGAGGACTTAGTACTTTCTTCCCCGGGCTGCTGGGAGACAGAGAGATAAGATATGGAAAGAACCTGGCCTGGTGCCTCATGTCCAGGAAGCATCCAGCATATCCAAGCAATTATGACTATTTTCCTAGCGAGGACAGAAGCTGGGACACCATCGGCAACGTAACTGGGATTTTCAGGGGACAAAATACTGACATTCAGAAAATAAATCAGCCTGGAAGGGAAAATTACACGAGAGGGTGGGGATGTGTTCAAATACGTCATTCTGACTGTGCTATTTAAACAACAAATAGTGGGCAGGAAGTGGTTAAATTGAAAGGGGGAGCAGAGAGGAGGGTGACTCAGGGACAAAATGTGACCAACAGTGGGGGAGGGGACCTTTTTCAGGGCTACCTAAGCACTATTTAGAAAGTCAAAACAAACCCTAAAACTCCTCCAGGCTTGCACTCCAAAGACTCCTCTCGGAGAAACCAGGCAGCGCAGGGGTGGCTGAAACTAAGAGACCCTTATTATCTTGCCTACATTTTACAAGAATACAAGATGCCTGAAGTCCCAGCATTTGCGTGCATCTTTGCAACAAGAAGTTCAGAACAGTAGTTAAAGCTTTAGCCAGGAGTCACGCTTCAAGTGTAAACTCTGAGCAACTATGGCAGCTGTGACAATCCCCTGTCACTTTGCAGTTAAAATCTTTAGTCAAAACAGCTCTGGTCAAGCAAACTAGTAGGACATGATACAGCATGCGGCCCAGAGCAGCAGCATCAGAGGAAACCAATGCAGACAGGACCTGGGTGAGGCTCTGCTCTCCCTTCACCACATATAGATCTTTTAATATTGGCCAAAATCTTTCAAAACTCAGCATAGTAACTGCACTGCTTGCCCTGAAGAAGGGCTGTGTGTTGACCCCTTCCTCACTGCATGAGGAACAGTGATTCATGAAATGGATCATCTTTATCTTCTTGCTTTGGCTGCCTGGAAGCTCAGAGTCAAATTCACACTTCATCTTCAGTAATTATTAGAGACCCTGTGTATATTTGTGTCCTAATTTCCTCCTAGTCTTTTCTATATATTTAATTTTGGAAGTCATGTCAGCTCAACTTTTGTTGAGAACAGGGGCATGGCCATACAGGAGCTCTGCCTGTGTATAATAATTGCTCCAGACTTTTCTTTTACAAGCAAATGGAGGTAGGTTGATTAAGCATGAGTGAGGTGATTGGAGTGGGGACTGGGGGGGGGGAGAAGGAGGGAGAGAGGGAGCGAGAGAGGGAGGGGGGAGAGAGGAGGGGGGAAAGAGGGGGGGAGGAGAGAGAGAGAGAGAGAGAGAGAGAGAGAGAGAGAGAGATTTAGTGGGAACAAATTTGCTGAAGAACAGAAGGGAGCTGCCTCAGGGCTGAATGCAAAGGGAATTCTGACTGTTAGAGGAAGGACTCCTGGAGGGCAGGGGCAGAGCTGACCTGGGTATGAGTAACCTGTCAGAATCAGAGGGAACAACACCCTTTATCCCCAACTGAAGAAAGTTCATTAGATTGCAAGTAAGAGAGAATGCTGTTTTTAAAGGAAGAGCCTGGAATCTTCTGTTTTGTATGTTTAGAAGGTAGTTCACTTGCAAATTTCAATATTTTATTAACAAATTACTTGTGGCCCAACCAAGGTCAAATTAGTGGACACAGCCTGACCTGCAAAGTGTGTGGTGGCACGAACGGGACCTGGCCTCAGCCCTGTCCCACTCTACATGAAGACAACCACTTGGAGGCAGGTCTGAATGGCATATTCTCACAGCTGAGGAGGACCCCAAGAAGGCACCCCGGCCTTCTGACGGCCTATCCGAAATGTTCTTGACAGGAAGTGAGGGGCATTGTGCACCAGGGCATCTTGGGACCCGAGGCCAGGCTCCCATACTTGACTGTGACCCCACCAGCCACAAGAGGAGTGCCATTTACTGCTAACAGGTCAAAGAACAAAAGGGGCTTCAAGTGGGCTAAATGCTCCCCCACCCCTAGTGAAGGGAGCACCAGAGTCAGCACCCTAGAGGCCAGGTGAGACTACCAGAATGGGATCAGGGCTAAAGGTGGCACTGGGCCCCAGCCAAGCCCAAAGCAGGTCTCCTAGGCTCCGCACCCCTGCCACTCCTGGCTCTCACCAGGCCCTCCCACACCAACCTTTTAAAATAGACTATAGATCACAGCCTCCTCCTCTGAAACTCCATCAGCTCAGAATCCCTGAATCTCTTTAGTGATAACTCCCCTCCTGATCTGGCCTGAACCCCCTCCCTGACTTCATGTCCTCCTCCCACCCTGGTAGATGGGCTGTTTGTCAAACACCCAGGGCCTTTGCACTTGCTACCCCCTCCATCTGGGATGCCCGCCGCCCTTGGTGCTTGCATGGCTCGTTCCCTCCCTTCATCCAGGTCTCTGGACAAACGTCACCTTATCCACCGACCCCCTCTGTATAAAACTGCATGTCCTCCTTCAGTTTCTATCCACTACCCCCCACCTTGTCTGACTTCTCACTATAAGACACATTATATTGTGGTCTGTTTGGTGTTAAAATGGGCTGTGCTAGAGTGGAGACGGAACCCCCCACTGCAGCGCTGTCCCAGCACCTAGAGCGCTGGGTGCTCTTGACACAGTACGTGCTCGACCAATCACAGTTGGGCGGGGGTGGGGGGGTGAATAAGAGAAGAAAAAATGTGCGGCTCAGAGCTGAGCCAGGACAACAGCACCAGTGTCACATGCGCTAAGGGCAGATGGTGAAACACGAGGTTTTTATTTACCACTAATTAAGGACTTTATCACCATCAGAGCTGAGCAAAGGCAGCACAGTGAGAACCACAGAAGATGCCTCGGCTTTCAAATAACCCAGATGACTTGGTCAATTTGATAGAAAACAACTTGGCTGAGAAAAAGTTGAGAGGAAAAACCATTCAGTCCAAAGGACAATTTAGCCTAAAATACACTCCACGTTATGTTTAAAAAATTAGAATCTTGACACAGGTGCCAAGAACAGAATGGCAATAGCCAGAAGGAGTGGGGGCTGGGGCTAGCACCGTGAGTAAAGGAGGTGAGGACATACAAACTTCCAGACAGAAAATAAATTCTGGGGCTGGGATAAACAGCATGGCAACTGCAGTTGGCGATACTGAAGCACGTACTTGGAAGTTACCAAGACAGTCCCAAGAGTTCCCTCTGAGTGGTGACAGCCAGCTGACAGCGAGACTAATTGTGATCATTTCTCAATAAACACAAGTGTTCACTCATCATGTGACATACCTGAAACCAGTAACATTTCAATTATATATAAAAATATTAACTGGAATTTTGACGAGCCTGGGGGTAGAGTTCATCCTTTCGTGCCTTGCTAAATTTCAAAATAGTTTGACCCTCTGCTTTAAATTCCTGGTATTTTAGCTAACAACTTTCTGTTCATTTGAGATCATGTATCATGAATGTCATGCACATGGCAAACATTAATGTGCTACTTAGTGAATTATTATAAAGTGAGTGCCCACATAAACACCACCCCCTCAAGGAGCAGGACACTGCCTGTCCCCAGGGTTCCCCCATACGTCATTAACCCTAAGGGACACAGCTACCAGTTTCTAGCAGGATCACACCCTTCTGTGTCTCCCGAGTACCCATCTCCACACACTCTGGCTTCATGTGCTGAGCTGCTCTATGATATTCTATAAATGGAAAAGTACAAGTTTGTGTCTGGCTTCGTTTGCGGGATGCGAGGCTGTGAGCTGTGTGCCCTTGTGCCTGCAGCGACTCCTTTTCATTGCTGTGTTGTGAGGATTCTAACAGCAAAACATCAGCAACAATCTGAACGTCTCAAAGTAGGCACTTGGTTAGATGAAGTTGAAAGTTTACAAAACAGAAATTACTCTGTAATCCTATTTTTGCTAAAAGAAAAGAAAAAAACCAAGAATGAGAGGGTGGAAGATGAAGGAAAATACTCCTTATGTATGTCTATAAAGAAAGGTCTGGAAAAATGTGCCATATTTGACCTAGGGAGGGTGAGGGGGTACCGGGCCCTTTAAGAAGGTTTGTTACATATGTTTTTCCCACCTGTACCTCCCCTTGTTATATATTTTTCTATTGACCTAAGTTTCTGGTTTTCCTATAATGAACACTCACCGCTTTTGTAAAATAAAACAAATGAACAAAAAACACTGTAAGGAATTTAAACAGTTTTAAAAAATTAACCTAACAGTAATGAATAACAAAGAAAAGGATCTGGAAGTTGGGGAGATAAATTTTAGGGTTCTTTTTCCTGCTAGTTCATTTTCAGCCAATTATGTCCCCTCTGTTTGGTGGGTCAGTTATATGAATGTTTTTTCATAAATTAATCAAAACAATGTTTCCAACCAGTTCATGTGTTTGAACTCGGAAAATAGCTTACACACTGTTTAATTAACCAAAACCTATTTGTTGGACACTGACTTTTCAAATTCATTTCCTCCCACTTTGTCTGGCTGGTCTTGCTCTACTTGAAATAGATTTGGCAAAAATGAAGCCAGGCAGTTACCTATCTTTGTCCAAACCACTCCAGTGATCTGAATCGAACACTCTAATATCAAGCAGGTTTAAACTCCAACCTCAGGTCAGTCATTTACCACTTAAGCAAAACTGGGCAAATTTACTTTGCCTGATTTCAATTTCCCCATCTGTTAAAATGGCTACAAAACCTACAGGAGACTCAGAACTTCCCAAATCAGCAACATGTGCTGTGCTCAGTCCATTCTCTCTGCCTTGGCATCACCCCCAGTTGACAACTGCTCCTTTAAACTGGTCTCTCTCACACTAGTAACTGATGCCCTGGGTCCAGTGGGTTCCTCCTCACATAACTCTGGAATTGGCCTCCTTCCCCACTGAGCCTCCTCAGCCTGTGTCAAGACCCCCAGCCCCTTCCCCACAGAATTCCCCCCAGACAACCTCACTATAGCCTTACACCTTGAACCGAGAAAACACTGATAGGGGCCTCTGTTCCTGATCCTTCCACCTCAAGCAAGCAGCCAGTCTTTTTAGGGTTTTCTTATGTTACGTGGCCAAAAGCCAGAGCTGCCTGTAGACATGACATTTTCTTCCCTATCCTTCATACCTGCCTAAACCCATGGATGAGAACATGTTCACGCATCCTGGATGGGATGATCTTGGGATGAGCAAGAGGAGAGGAGGACAGATCTGGCTTGGCAGGGGCTGGACAGTAGCCAGTGACGAGAACAAGCCTCTACACACCATTCAGTGGCCTTAGGAAGGGGTAGGACATCACAGGGAGACTCCCTGGTGTCCCTAGAAAAACACCCACAACCTGGGTTCCTTACGCCCCCATGCATGGCCTACAAGGCAGCACCAGATGCACAGCCCTCTCTGTAGCCCCTGCACAGATGGGAACAAGGTAGGGACACAGCACCCACCAGCCCCCTCTCAGGCCTAGGGTTTGTTTGCCTTTCTGACTATAGCTCACTTCACACGTTTCCCAGTGCAGAAGATCCTCACAGAAGCTCGGAGAGGTAGGCCTGGGCAAAGTCAGCCCAGGTAGGTCCCACAGGCAACACACACCTTGGAGAGCTCACCACTGTCCAGCTTGGGGGAGGCTGGCCCATGCTATCTGAGCAGTCAGAATGTAACCAATTTATGAGCCCACAATGAGAAACACAACAGCTGGGTAGAATGGTTGGTCAGAGCAGCCCGACCAGAGTATGCCCTCCTTGAGCCCAGGCAGGGAAGCCACATTCATTACCGGGCTTGTTTGGCAGTGGCAGGACAGTGAATGGTGGAAATGGAATGTGCAGTGGCGTCCTGCCAGCTGCCTCAGTGTCTCCTCAGTGGCTGAGGCCCAGGTGGGCAGGCCAGCTCACCTCGCTGGGACGCAGGGGCAAGCCACGCCCTCAGCATCACAAGAGGAGAGTTCGTGGGTTTCGAGTTCTGACTCCAGCCGCCCTCCGGATGGACACATTGAGTCCTCAGGTAAAATAATACCTGCAGACTGGCATCTCAGCCTGGCACACCTGGGAACCTTTGCTCTCCCGAGATGACTGCAGCCTGATTTCACAATTTACCTTTCTTATTTGCGGCCAAGGACCACCCACACGCACCTGAATAGGCGATTCATGACTGATGGTTCTAGGTTTGTTTTCCATAGACTTACAGGTTAGCAGCTCTGAAACTTCTGAGTACTCTATGATTGAACAAGCAACCAACCTAGAGATAGAGCCAGGTTTCACTGTTGGAGGAAGGGGTTGCCAATATGATAGCAGGATCAGTATATACTCTCTCTATATATATATTTATATCTATACATAAAAGAACAAGAACAATAACAGATATTCTGTGTGTCTTTCCTTAGCTCTTAGCTCTGACCACTGAGCGGGCCTAGGAGTAACGAGACCTTCACAGCGATGAGCATACCGAACATCCAGGTCTTGGACTCTGAATACCCGACTCCACCAAAAGGAACCAGGGCTCCTTGGAGAAATGGTTGATTCTAGAGCTGGTGCAGGGGAGGTACAAGATGAACCTGGAATGTCTTGTGACAGAAAATAAGAATGGGCTCGGGTCACAATGGGGACATGTCCCAAGAAGACAGGATCTATTTTGAAGGGGCCCCCAAGACCAAATCTAAAACAATTTGAGCATTGAAATAAATAATGATGCTAACTGGGTATACCCATTGAACAAAACAAGAATCTGAATCTACAGCAATATAAAATAATTAAACAAGAAGGGAAAACTCTTTAGGGTTGAATGCCAGCAAGTAAATGCAAAAGAGCAGAATTAGAAATCATCGTTGGCGTGCAAGAATTATCAGTGGATCTGGTGGGTAAGAAACAGATAATAAGTCTATTTAAGTCAACATTCAAACAATCACACTGAGAAAATACTTTCCAGTGGAGAAACCTGGCAGACACCGCTCTGAGCAAGTGACTGCGGTTAATGGGGCAAATGGGCATTCTGTGCTTCCTCACGCGACGCAGAGAGGGACACACTTCTGGGTATTCCTGCCAAAAACACATAACCCAAATCTAATCAGGAGAAAACGCCAGTCACCCAAATTGAGAGCTCTCGTACAAAATAACTGGTCAGGTCTCCTCAGAAATGTGGAAGTCATGAAAGCCAGAGTGAGGACTGGTTCAGAGGAAAGGGAAAGAACAGAGACATGACAACGGAAGGCAGCACGGTCCTGGACCAGAAAACAATGGTTTTCTTCTGTATAAAGATTACCACTGTGGGCCTCCCCTGGTGGCGCAGCGGTTGAGCGCTGGGCTGCGAAGCTGCCCGCAGCCTCTGCAGCGCTGGTTCAATCCCTGGCTGCTGGCCGAGGGTCCCACATGGCGCGCAGACCTCTCCTGCTGCCCGCTGCTCCCCTCAGCAGTGTATTTCATCGGTCTGCCTGTTCTGTTCCCTGCTCTGGCTCTGGTGAATTCTCTCACCTTCCTGCCCTTCTGACTGTACCCAGTGCTTGTATAAATAAATAATAAAAAAAAAATCTTTAAAAAAAAAGATTACTATTGGGATAGTAGGAAAATTTTAGTATTATGTATCAATGCTAACTTCTTTGCTTTTTTGGTGGGTTTTTTTTTTTTAGTGTTATTGGTATTTTTAAAAGTCAGATTGTATTGCTTTACCATTTGTTTACAAAAATACTCAATGTTAGTTTCCTGGTTTTGATCATTGTGTTGTAACTATATCTGGGATTTCCTTGTTTAGGAAATGAACATTGATGTATGTAGATTATCATATTTGCATTTTCAAATAGTTCATATACCTATAGAAACAGAAAGTGAGAATGTTAAATTTAATGAAGTGTTAATACTTGAGGAAACTGAAGTTCTATGTACTGCATTTGCAGGTTTTCTGTAGGTCTACAATTATTTCAAAACTAAGGTTTCAAAAAATATGCATTGGCTGGATAAAAGCACAAGGAATTATCTAACACAGACTGGGGCCTCAATAGGCATTCAGTATGTGGTGGTCAATATTGGGGTTGTGATTGACCCCTTAACTAGAGGGATCAGAATGTTCTAGGCCAGGCTTTTCAAACATTCATAGCATCACAATCACCTGGAGATCTTGTTTCATGCTGATCCCGGGACAGATCTGGTTGGGGATGAAATTCTGAATTTCTACCAAGCTTCCAGGTGATACTGATGCTGCCTTTCTCCTGGGCTCGGAATTACTCTCTGGTTCACAAAGAGGTAGGTACAGCTGGTTTAAACCTGGGGTTCTAGAGCCTCCGATCAACAACAGGACCACCAGAAGCTTGATCTCCACAGGTGAGGCTAACATACAGCCAGGATTAAGCCTTTACACTGTCTCCTCCATTTCATCACCTCAGATTCAGACTCTAAGTTTGGGTACCGCCATGCCTTCCAAACTGGATTCCTTGCCAGCTGCCTCATTCCACCCGCAACCCAGGAGCCAGCGGAATCTTCCAACTCCTCCACAGTTCAAACACCTTAGTGTACAGGTCAAGGGCAAACTCTTCACCCAGCCATCAAGTGCTCACTACTCTCCTGGGCTCCCCCTTTGAAACTCTGCGCCCAGGAGAGCAGCCTGGGTTCCACCTTCACACATTGCATTTGCAATCATCTCACATCCACACAGCACCTATCTCAAGTCTCACTCTAGGTTTCCAGGTAAGAACCACCCCTGAGTTCCTCCTGCCACAGGCGCCGGTGCTGCAGACGCCAACCTCGCCACCCCCTCTAGGAGAGGCTGCGGGCCTGGTGGCTCGGACCAGCTCTCCTCAAACATAACTGGGGAGGATGATTTTCTGCAGCTGGGACACAGGCCACCGCCTTCCTGTTCACTCAGGACTGGGTTCAGCTCTCTGTCAAGCACAATGAAGGGAAGGGAGGAGACAACTTGGGTGTTGCCCTGGGGTTCTGGCCTGGCACAGAGTTCCCCATCCCCTAACCACCAACCACCTACTACTCATCCTCCCACCTTCAGCCTAGCATTGTGGCCAGAATCTGAAGGACCTAGAGGAAAATAGGTCATAGGGAGGTGCCACCAGGTTGTACAGACAAGGGAGGGTTGGGCCTCAGAGAGAAGTCACTTTGTTCAGGGTTGAAAGACAAATTTGAGAAGGGGGTGTGGGCCTGGCAGGCATGAGGAGACCACCATCTCCTTCTCCAGTTCTCCTACCTCGATCTCCAGCATTCCCACCTCCAGGCAAGGCCTCCTGCTGGGCGCACCCCTTCTCCAAGCCTCACTTTCCTCCTGACACAGCTCCACCTAGGCCAAGTGCCCTGGGGCTGCCGCGCTGATTCCTGTTAAGCTTGGCCGCCTGGGCGGGGCTTTCCTAATTCTTGGGCATCGGGCTCAACAGGTGCCTCTCATTCCCAGGAGAATGACAGTTGCAATCAGGGGAGGAACAGCCGCTCTGGGCTCTAATGGGCTTCATGTGTCCCAGAGTCAAGTCCCCCACTTCATGGAAAGAATGTTCATCTCATTTCTGACCCCCTCTCAGGCTGTTTGCCTCCGCTGAGGGATGATCAGGTGGAAACTCCCATGGAGGGATTATGTGACTTCCCACCTCCCCTTCAGAGGCTCTCTATGATTCACGCCCTCAGTCTCCTGGCAGATCCATTTCATTTGGGGAGTTGCAGAGTCTGAGTCCTTCCAGAGAGGGAGGCAGGAACTTGGAAGCAAATATGAGGCAGGCACGTCGAAGACGTGAACACCCTATTCCTGGATCTGGGATGTCCTCTTCACTCTGTCCAACCTCTCTCATTTCAGGTTCTATTTTAAGTCCCTCTAGGAAGAGGCTCCCCCCACCAGACTCCCTGTAGCACCTCTCTCTGTCTTCCAGAATTCCCTTCGGCTGCCCTATGCACATCAACGCTTGTCCCCAGGCCTTGCTTTCTGCCTCCTCATCTTGGCTTCCATCTTCTAAGAGACTATTTCCCAGGGGACACTCCCATTTGTTTACAATAGCCATAATTTTCCAAACCCCAATCAAGACAGCTCACAAATAACTGTAGGACTCACCTTTGGCATAACAGGCCACACGTACACTAACCTACTATAGTTTGAAATAATTAGAGGAATGACTAGGTTAGAAACAATTATAAGAATTATGGAAGGAATAAGTCAAAGTATTTGAAATTGAGGCTGTGTTAGAAAATCCAAGATAAACAGCCCACTCTATATATGTATATGTATATATATGTATATATATAATATTTTCTCTTACATATCCAGACTATTCACCCAGTAAATGCTTAAATCTTGCTGACACTCTGTTTCTCCTATCTCCTCACATCCATTCCATTCATCTTCAATCAACACATTACATGTTTTTTCCATGAGTCAATCTTTATTGGCTTTTGAAGTAATGGATTATTGGCACAAGGCTCAATGGGTTTCAAAGCAAGTGACAGAAGGAAACATACATTGTACAAGTGAGAAGACCGAAGAGGGAAGAATCCCAGGGCAGCTGTGACCCTCACCCCCATGAGCTGGGTCTTACTCATGACAAGCTGCCATCAGCCCTGCCCCTGCAGGGCCCACACTGCGTAGACCTGAAGGCAACTGAGCCACATCTCAGGGAATATAGAGGGACTCCCAGTTCTCTCTCAAAGACAATCATTTCTTCTTTCTTGGAAACTTCTCCAGCCTCCAAGACTTTGCCACCATGAACAATTTGAAAAGCCAGGGCTCCTTCTTCCTCTGAGAACGCCAGCCTGCTTTCCCTCACCTGCTCCTTTTCCAATGGAAGCCTCCCCCACCAGGGGCCGACGAAGGCCCCAGCAGAGGGAGAACAGCGGGAGGGGGACTGGGGTTTTCAAGAGCTGGCCTTGCACAGTGACTGAGGGTAAGTTGCCCTTCCCCTCCACTGCAGTGGGTCTTCTCACCAATGTTGGGGGGGTGGGGTTTGAGGAAAAGGGGCTTCTCAATAGGAGAGCTGCTGGCCCCCCTCCTCTGAGGACTCCTCCTCTATGAGCTCCAGGTCAAACTCATCTTCCAGGGACCCTCCAACAGGCAGAAGACGGAACTTCTTTCCTTTCAGGGTACATGTGCGGTGCTCGAAGTCCAGGACAGCGTTGTGGTCCTGGAGCACGTCAGTACCAATGATGGCCTCCTCGGCACTGGCGTTGGCCACCAGGAACTCTGCCTTCAACTTGAGCTTGCCCAGGGACACCACTGTATCCCACACACCCAGGATCTTCATTTCAGCCCCATTGGCCACTTTTACCACATTCTCAAAGGGTCGCAGGGTGTCCAAGTCACCATCGGTGACCTCCTCCCACAGGCTAGGGTGGACCACAGAGACCTGGGCCCCGGAATCCACCAGGAACCTCACAGGCACATGGCCAATCTTCCCCTTGAGGTAGTAGCCCTTACCCATGCTGAAGGCAAAGACGATCTCCTTGGGCAGGTGGCTGTGGGCAGCCGCGGAACCCCCGAAGCCCCGCAGGAGCATCTCTTTCACAGTCTCATAGTCTCCCTGCTCCTTGGCACCGAGTCCACGGTAGGCCTCCAGGGCATTTCCCCTGAGGGATTCTTTCAGGAACCTCATCTTGGTGTCATAGTCCCAATGGTTGAGGTCATTGATGACCTCCAAGCGGTGCAGCCAAAGGTGTGGGGCTACATTGGCTCCATCAAATGCCTCTGGCACGAAGGCATGCTTCCGACGGCCCTCCTGGCTTCTGGCTCCACTAGCAGCCATCCTTCTGCTCTCTTCTGGAACCGCAGCAGCAACCCACACCAAGCAGAGAAAGCCACAGAGCAGTGTCGGCGCAATCACGCTGGATCTCAAGGCCTCTCTGAACAGAGTATGGCTTAGGTGCCCGGTCCGGGCAAGCAGAAGAGACCAAGCAGGGTTGCCTGGCTGACTGCAGGGCACAGAGTCGGGCAGTTGCTGTGGCGTGCTCACTCTTCAGAGCCTTTTTGATGCCTAGTCTGGGCCCCCAGGGCTCCCCATTCTCCTTTGTTCTGGAAGCTCCGCCCCTTTGAGTCCCGCCCTCCTGCTAGCATCTGGCCTGACTAGCAGGATCAGTGCCTCACCCTTCTGCATCCATCCACAGGACTGGCACAAGTCAGCCCACGTCAAGAGAAAGGCCAGCCTTAGTCGGAAGGGGCCTGCTCAGGTACCCTCCCCAGCCCGTGTCCCAGAATAACAGATGAGGACATGGAGGATGTTATGACACCCAAGTGTTGGTCACCAGTTGGAGAAGAGGGCAGCAGGGACGAGAGGTTCCAAGCCCTCAATCCCGGGTGACCACACGGAGTGGTAAAGAGAAAGGGGTTTACATTCACTGCGCTCCTGTTTGTAAAGCCAAAGCTGGTGTTTCTGAACTAAGCATGATATCCTGTAAGTCCCTGGAGGGGGAGAATGAGGAGGGTCCCAGAATCAAGAATATACAGAAAATAGTTTTTAAATGAGAGAGAACACACACACACACACACACACACACACACACATTCCATTAACTCAACAGCTACAGTGATTTCAGGGTTAGGCCAGCGCACCCTAAGGTGGGCTGTTGTGGATCTTGAACTTCTGGGAATGGACGCTGCCAGAATCCAAGATCTGGCTCAGACTCTAGCTGTGGGCAGGCCCATCCTCAACTCCACATGTGTTGTCTCCTCTCCTCCTGGCACCTCTTAACTTCCAGGAACCTTCCAAGAGCCCCTTCCCCAGAAACTGCAGCCTTCCCCTCCCAGTGCCTCACCTGATTACCTATAGAAAGAGCTGCAAGGGACTGTCGCTCCTTTTTGTTCTGGAAGGGGAAACATCCACTATGTTGGTGAAACCCAGTGATGAGGATCTGGCAGGCTTTCGGCTGGAGGAGGCTGGCTGTGTGGTCCTCAGCTGGGGGATGCAGGTTCGCTCCCTGGATGCCCAGAGGCAGAACCTTAGGTCCTCAGGCTGAAGCCTGACCTGAACCTGTGTAGGGAGATAGGGGCTGTTGAGGGAACCCACTTTATGACCCTATTCTAGCTGCCCCCTCAAAGGAACCCTGTACCCTGCTCCTTGCACGCCTGCATGCCCACTCCCAGTTGGACATGTGTTGCGTGTGCTATGCCACTTTGTTCACAAGTCTGTCCTGCGGTGAACCACAGTGAGAGATGTGTGACCATCTCCTACCTTCATAGAAATGTTCTTTGGGACTCAGCAGGTGCTCTCTGCTAGGCTCAGGCCTGAGAGAATGCTGTCACCAAACAACAGGGATTAGGATGGGAGAGGAGCTAGAACCGGTGGCACACCTGTGGCTCTGGGCTGTTTTTCCTGGCCCAGAGCCTGTCCCTCGCTGCATCCCTGTACCATTCATCACCCAGGGTCTGGCTACGTCCCAAAGGTGTCCTGGCCCTAGTCCTGCTTCTGGAAGGTCCCAGGTTCCCCAGCTATACAGAGAGACCCTCAGTCCCAGAGCTGTCCCAGCCCCTTCCACCTGACACAGTGAGCCAGCAGAGAGGCAGCTGGGTCAACACCTCTCATCACAGCTGCCTGGCTAAGGAGGGGCCATGTGCCATTCCAGGAGCTCTGAGGAAGGAAATGGAGTCACTAAAAAGTGCTCAAGGGGGCAAGTCTCTGAGAAGATTGCACAATGAAACACATGCACCTAGAAACATGGCCCTGCCACCCTCAAAACCAGGAAGCCCCTTCTCTAAGTGGACTTTTTTGAATAGACTCCATCCCTGGGGATGGGTGTTGGCCTGACCTAGTGGCTTTCTGGCTCCCTGGTATTCATCATTCTACACACCTGGTCGCTTGAAAGTACGCATGAGTGAGGAGGCTGGCATGTGACTGAGGGACATCAGAGGCGGCACGACTAGTCAACCAACGAACTCAGACTGCTAGATGCCCCAGAATGGGCCTTCCGAGCATCATGATGGACACTAGGTCACATGTCCCCACTTTCCTGGGCTACAAATAGGTGGCTCCTGAGACTTAGACCATGGCACATCACTTGATTGGGCTTGAGGTTCACTTTGGAGTCATTTCACAGCCATCATCTCAAGGAGCATCATGACAACCTGGAAGGTAGAGGACCCATTTTACTCCAAAACTCTAAAGTACAAAGACAACACCTAAATGTCTTGTTTTTGACCCGCATGCGGACTAGTGCAAGGATAAGGGAATTTTGCGAAGAAATGCAGGGAGTGGGGTGCTGGGCTCAGGAGGTGGGCAGCCAGGCCCTGGGGTTTGTGCTGTTGAGGACCTCTGATGGGGTCAGTTATCTAATGGGTCATGAGGCAGAGCAGACTGTTAAACATTCAAGAATTTTCTGGGTCAGTTTTTAAACCAACAAGTAGCTAGAAATCAGACTTCATGGGAGTACTCATACCACAAAAAATAGCAAATTCTAAATCGGCATTTTTTTTTTTCTGGAAAGCTAGTTTATCATCACAACTGCTGTACAGGGGTGTTGGTCCCTATCTCTGGGGCAGGCAAAGTTTCATGGTAGGTGATTAAGTTTTTAGCTATCTCCACCCCACCCACCCAATTTGGCCCTAGATCATCTCTAGATCTAGCCTTCCTTGCCTCATACTCCCTCATAGCCTCTATATTTCTGGGTCCTTTACTCTGAGGCAGGTAAGCCTGCTCAGGGAGAAGTTATCTGTCCCTCTTGAGCCCCCAAGACAGAAGCACACAGGGGGCTTGTAGGCTCTAGGATAAGTAGAGGGGGCTGAGTTTAGGGACTGGTCTCTGGCTTGGATCAGGAACGTGGTGAAGTAAGATCCCAAGTTCCTTTAATCCTTGGGAGATTCCTGTCCCTTGACCACTCAAGGACCTGGGAATAACTATGTCAATGGTGCACTGATGAGTGAAACCAGCTGGGGCAGGCCACTGCCTCCTCCCAGAACCTAGGAAATCATGGCTAATTATTGACCCGTATTGGTACTGGGGCAGGAACACCCTCATTATTACCCATTAGCAACTCCTGAGTGTGCTCACAGTGGGCAAATCAGGACAACAGGAAGGAATAGGCCTTCCTACCCTCCACACCCCATCATTGAGATTTCAGGGTTATGAACTCTGCCAGCCCAATGTAGACCCAGCTCCCTGCTTCCCTTTGTTACTTCCTTACCCACACCCATCCTTCTCCCCAAGCCCCTTGAGCACTGAAACCCGCAGTGAGCAGTGAGGCTGCACCTAGAAACCATGGACCTCCTTCTCTTTAGTGTTTCTGCTGCCTGAAGATGTCTGGGGAGAGCACCAAAGGTGCCCAGAGAAGTGACTTTCACTCCTGGGAGGAAGGGGGAGATAGGGAATGGGAGAGTATCTGAGCATTCTCAGGAAATCACTGTGACCAAAGAGTAGAAAGCTTATGAATTTTGGTATCGTCGATGAGGCCCAGACTGAAACATAGGAGGGTCAACAAAAGTGGAAAGAAGCCAGGTGCTGCCACTTCCCCCCAGACTGCCTCGCTAGCTCCCTCATTCCCAAGGTAAAGCTGACCTGGGGAGAAAGCAAAGGGGGATTTCAAGGCAGCGAAAACGAAAAATGAAGTCAGGAGGTGCACTTTCGGCCTCATGGGCTCTGTAGTCAGGACCCAAGCCTGATCTGACACTCAGCTATCGATGTCTTAAATTCCTTAACCAAATTGCATGTGTTTATCTTTTTTGAATGCTGAGTAATATTCCATGGTGTATATGGACCACATCTTCTTGATCCAGTCATCTATTTTTGGGCATTTGGGCTGTTTCCAAAGCTTAGCTATTGTAAACAGTGCTGCAATAAGGGGGTTGTAATTATATGGGGAATATAAAAAATAAAATTTAAATAAAAAATAAAATAAAAATTCCTTAACCATCTTGAACAAGGGGGGCCATGCTTTCCTGATGCACAGGCCCTGTAAATCCAACCTGATGGAAACACGCTCAACCTGCACATGTAAAACACACCACACACGGTCACACTAGAGTTCTCAGTGCAAAATGGCTGAGAAATAGGGTAATCTGCATAAGGAATTCAGTTCCCACCTTTCATTTCACACATTTATTTGCGCACACATTTACATGAAGTATTAAAATCATTTATTGGAGGCACCTGCTGTTTATTAGCCTCTGGGCACATTTGTTGCCTCAGAGAACTAGGCAGATCCCTATCACCATGGCTTACAAGCTAATGAAAACAGGATACAGCTGTTTAACAGCCCCGTTTTGAAGAATTTAAGACGAATGTGTATGTGCAGGCTGACCTCTTGAAGCAACCCTAGTCATAACCACACTGCTTTCAAAGTGGGTCACCCTGCCTTCTGCACCAACCCCCCCACACACATTACAGGGCCACGGACATGACACCCTCTAATCTCCCACCTCTGGGCATTGGCCACCAGGAATAAGAGCCTGCTTGCCTGTGTGACTCCTGCACAACTCCAGTCCTGGCCTTACCTGAGGCCCTGGACCCAGGGTTGGGGTGAATTTGTGAGGTTGATGGTGCAGTTCTGAGGAGCAGGGGCCACAACTGCATCTAGCTCTGATTCAGTGAGTTATGATGGCAGGTCTTCAAGCTAAAAAGAGGGCCAAAGAAGTGAATTCTGCACAAAAATCTAGCTGCAGATTCAGATCAGGACCCAAGGGAGTCTGGGTGAGCTCTGACCTAAGCAATGTGTAGGGGCAGGACAGGACACAGTGCAGGTTTTCTATGATCCAGCAGACCGGGTAAAGAAGGAGTCCTAGAGAGTCCTCAGTGGTTTTTGCAGGTCTTCTATTGGGATTTACCCGGTACACAGCAGGCAAGGGTGCTGGGGAGCCGGGAGGCTGGCAGGCCTCCCAGCCCCAGTAAGTCTTCACTCTATCTGGGTTCTCCGGCCTTCTCTGCTTCTCTCTCGGCTTCTGCTGCTTCTTTCTCGGCTTCTCTTTCTGCTTCTCCTGGTGTCCCCGTGACGCCGCCCTTAAAAGTCCAGTCTCAGCCCAGGTGAATCCCATCTACCTATGCCCACACCCTACTCCAGGTGCCCGCCATCAGACATGCATTCAGGACCGACCGCAAGGATCCATCATCTATCCTGATGGCGGGAGGGCACAAAAGCCTGACATTTTCCTTACCCTACACAGAGGTACTGGGGGGCTGGGAGGCCTCCCAGACCCCACCAAGTCTTCACTCTGGGCTCACTGGCATTCTCTTGTGGCCTTGTTCTCTGCTTCTCTCATGGTTCTCTTCTGCTCTCTGCTCTTCCTGGCATCCCCATGATACCGCCCTTATAAGCTCAGTCTCTCAGCCCAGATGTACCCATCTACATATGCCCGCACCCTATTCAGGTGCCCGCCATCAGGCATGCATTCAGGACTGCAGATCCATCATCAATCCTAATGGCAGGAGGGCAGAAAAGCCTGATATCATTTATCTACCTGTAAGGGCAGGAACAGGACACAGTGCAGGTTTTCTGATCCCATGCAGACTGGGTAAAGGAGGAGTCAGAGTCCTCAGTGGTTTTTTGCAGGCTTTTATTGGGATTTACCCGGTACACAGCAGGCAAGGGTGCTGGGGGGCCGGGAGGCTGGCAGGCCTCCCAGTCCTCAGCAAGTCTTCACTCTTTCTCGGCTCTCCGGCATTCTCTCTGCTTCTTTGCTCTCGGCTTCTGTTCGTTCTTGGCTTCTGCTGGCGTCCCCATGGCGCCGTCCTTAAAAGCCCAGTCTCAGCCCAGGTGAATCCCATCTACCTATGCCCACACCCTACTCCAGGTGTCCACCATCAGGCATGCATTCAGGACCGCAAGGATCCATCATCTATCCTGATGGCGGGAGGGCAGAAAAGCCTGACATTTTTCCTTACCCTACACAAGGCTTTTGGGGAAACCAAAAGCACCAACAGATTCCTTTTACCCAAATCACAAACCCCTAGACTACCAGCACCACTGTTCCCGAGCAGCAACTACCCAGCCCGCACCAGTCAGCCACAGCCAAAGGCACTTGGGAGGGAAGTTTTTCCTTCATAGTTTCCCTTCTTAGTCCCTGCCACAGCCCACACTGCACAGGCCAGCGTGCCACTGAGGGACAAAGCGCTGCTGCCCCTGCTCTACACTATTCCAGTCTCTTCTTCCCATTTGGTTTGCTCTGCAGTCTTTTACCATCCCCATTTAGACTCTTGCACATGGAAGCCACCCAGTTCAGCCTATCAGCAGATGCTTGGCCCTGGAGGACCTGGAGGTGTTTGGGAAACTGTGATCTCAGGCCCCAATGCCATGACTGGCTCTTCAGGCCCGGGGTCAGGGCCAGGGCTAACCAAGAGTTGCTGACTAATTCCCTAGAAGTTCAAATTGCTTCTTTCTATCTTTCAATCAAGTAGGAATGTTACTCAAGGTGTTCTGAAGTTCTCCTGAGTCCCCTCTTTACAGCCCTGCCCTCCAAATTGGGTTTGCGCCTTCTTCCTAATTCCTACGCCTCCACCCTAGAGCGAGCCCTTTATCCCTTTCTGCCTGGATCCTACCACCCTCCCTCTGGGTCACAGAAGACCAGCAGTTTGTCTGACCAGAGGCACTGGCTCTAAGGGAAGACCCTAGCAGAACCCCCCTTCCTCTCCCATCTCCATGTCCCCTTCACGTAAAAGGAAGGGAATGGGACCTGTAAGAGCGTCCAAATAGTTCCTGGGACATTAACCCCAGGAGTAGTGACAAATACTCCTGCAATCTATGAAATCTTCAGGCAATCAACATAGACAGACTGGGTATTCTCCAAAGACCAGTAGACTTCTAATGACACTAGGAAATTACACATGGAAGATTTCTGTCCAACTTAAAATACCTCAAAGGCAGCTTTGAACTGATCCTGAAATAGTTTTAATTGCTGCTGATGATAACTGGGATTGTGAGCAATGCAAACACATAAAATAGCCTCAGTGCAGGGAACTGCTTCTTTTGAATTCAGTGCCAACTTAGCTTTGCTCCTAACTTTCCCGCTGGCAGTCAAAATGACCTCTCTTCTTTACGATCAAGAAGTGAGGGGAGGCAGAAAAGGGAAGAGGGAAGAAGGAAAATACACCGGCACCCTAACATACATGGCAATCTCCAGGTGACTGTAGCAGCAGCAGCAGCAGACACTTACTGAGCACATACTATGTGCCAGACACCATGAGTGGCAGTAAATAAGTGTAAGGCACCCTAAGAGTCTGCAGCAGAGATGGAGAGAGCTGATGTCAAAGGAGTGGGTTGATTCAATTCCACACATATTTCTTGAGGTCAACTGCACCTCATGTTGACAGATGAATCAGATCTGAGTCCTGCCCTCACAAAGTTCTCAGGTGAGTGGGGGCATAGACTCAGACACAGATGCCCCAAATCCAGAAAGATGAGTTCAGGAGGTGGGGAAGATGGTGACTCAGTACACTGGGAAATCAACCAAGATTACACCAGAAAAACAGAAATGGAAGGAATATTCAGCATCAATACTGAAAATGGGATGAGACCATCCTTTAAGCGTTGGTGCTCTCCAGCAGATACTACCACAGGATTTGGGAGGTGAGGACCCCGGGACTGAGGCAGCTCATGTGGTGTAAAGGCAGGACTGGACCACAGTGCAGGTTCTCTGATCCCATGCAGACCGGGTAAAGGAGGAGTCAGAGTCCTTAGTGGGTTTTTGCAGGTCTTTTATTGGGGTTCACCAGGCATATGGCAGGCAGGGGTGCTGGTTGGGGGGCTGGAAGGCCTGCCAGCCTCCCAGCTCCCAGCAAGTCTTTACTCTCTCTGGGCTCTCTGGCGTTCGTTCGTTCTGCTGCTTCTCGGCTTCTGCTGCTGCTGCTGGCGTCCCCGTGACACCGCCCTTAAAAATCACAGTCTTAGCTCAGCTGAATCCCATCTACCTATGCCCACACCCTACTCCAGGTGCCCGCCATCAGGCATGCATTCAGGACAAGGATCCATCATCTATCCTGATGGCGGAAGGGCAGAAAAGCCTGATATTTTCTTTACCCTACATGTGGACACACCAGACAAGAAAGCTTTGGGGATTGGAGTTAGTTTCTGGATAAAGGAGTCCAAATCAAAACATGCAGGTAAGTACAGAAGAAAAGTCTGTAGGGAAATACACAATGAGAATACTTGTATTGAGTGGTAGAATCATGAATGATCTTTTCTTCCAGATATATTATATATACATGTATTCTGGGAATATATTCTCTAGTAAGAAAACAGTATTTAAAAATAAAGCAACTTGTTCTTGCATTTTTCTGTGAGCTTAAAATTATTACCAAATAAAACTTTTAATGAGGGGTAAATTGGGAGTCTTTATACCTACTGCTCAATTTTGCTGTGAACCTAAAATTGCTCTGAAAAAGTAAGTTTATTATAATTTTTAAAGTTTTTATAAGGGTACATAAAGGGGGAAGTACATTGTAGGGTAAGTAAAGTATCAGGCTTTTCTGCCCTCCCGCCATCAGGATAGATGATGGATCCTTGTCCTGAATGCATGCCTGATGGCGGGCACCTGGAGTAGGGTGTGGGCCTAGGTAGATGGGATTCACCTGGGCTAAGACTCGGCTTTTAAGGGCGGCATCACAGGGACGCCAGCAGAAGCCAAGAACGAACGGAAGCAGAGAGAACTCCAGAGAGCCCAGACGGAGTGAGGATTTGCTGGGGGCTGGGAGGACTGCCAGCCTCCCGGCCCCCCAGCACCCCTGCCTGCCATGTGCCTAGTAATCTAAATAAAGACCTGCAAAAGCCACTGAGGACTCTAACTCCTCCTTTACCCGGTCTGCTGGATCAGAAAACCTGCCCTGTTGTCTTCCTGCCCTTACATACTTTAAATAAGACTGACAATAAGAGTAATTGGTAAAGCTAAATGATAGGTGCAAGAGGGTGCTTTTCCCTGGTGGTCTAGGGGTTAAGTCTCAGCACTATCAGTGCTACAGCTGGCCAGGGAGCTGACCCACATATGGTGCAGCAGACCTCTCCTATCTCGCTTGCTCTCCCCTTGGCAGTGTATTTCAGTAAATCCACCTGCTCTGCTCCCCACTCTGTCTCCGGTGAATCCGCTCACCCCTTGCACCTCTGGCCTACACCCCAGTTCTACTAAATAAATATATGATTAAATACATAATTTTTAAAAAGGGTGCATTTGAGGTATCCACTACTTTTGGGCGTGTTTGAAATTTTTCCACGCTGAAAAGTAAAATAGTAAGTAAACAAATGCTCACCAGCTTGGCCTGCCCAAGTTCTAAGTCTGCTCCCTGGGGAGTCTGTGTGTCACCTGGCACGCTGGTCACCAGGGATAGGCAGCCTGGGCTGGGTCTCAGTGTTCCTGCCTAACTCTCTTCCGCAACACGCCACATACAAGGCTCCCCTCGGGCCTCCCTGGTGGCTATCCACAGCCACTGCTGCATGAGTTTGATCCTTGGCCAGGGGAGCTAACCCACATGGCGCGGCAGACCTCTCCTGTCTCACCCGCTGCTCCCCTCAGCAGTGTATTTCAGTGGATCTGCCTGTTCTGCTCCTCACTCTGTCTCTGGCGAGTCCTCTCATCCTCTTGCACCTCTAGCCTCCACCCCAGCCCTTGTATACATACATAAATAAATCTTAAAAAAAAAAAACCAAGGCTCCCCTCAACACAGAGTCCAAGGAGCGGGGATCTCACCACTCTTACCCGTGCTCTTGGCACAAGGGCTGAGGGTGGTGGGGCCTTCTGGCCTGAGCTCCCACTAGCCTCTTGTTAGTCTTCCTGTCCTGTACCTTGTCCCAGTCTGGGTTTCCTTCTCATGCAAGTCCACAGGCACGAGCCTTTCACAACATAAAGAATAATCCCCTAGCATAGTCCTGCATCCCCCTTGGTCAACCATAATTTACTTCCTTCCCAGTCAGTTTCTAGAAAAGCTATGGCACGTGATGCCCTACTGGGAACACGTGAGAGCTAAAATCCAGCCCATACGCACTTGTCAAGCTAGCATGCCTGGAAGAAGGGGCGCACCTATCTAACTCACACAAAGGTGCCATATGGTGGGTGCACCCTGCTTCCTCTCTGCCTCACTGTGTCACCTCTACTCACTGCCAAAGCCACTGGCTCCTGTTCCCACCACCCTCCACTGTACCCTTGCCAAGGGCGTCATCCCAGGAACCCTTCAGGGAATTTCATTTTCTGAACCATTGGCATGGTGGCTTTTCTTTTTTTTTTTTTGAAGATTTATTTATTTATACAAGCACTAGGTACAGTCAGAAGCGCGGGAGGGTGAGAGAATTCACCAGAGCCAGAGCGGAGAGCAGAACAGGCAGAATGACAAAGTACACTGCTGAGGGGAGCAGCGGGCGGCAGGAGAGGTCTGCGCGCCATGTGGGACCCTCCTCTGGTGGCCGGGGAGCAGCTGGGGATCGAACCGGCACTGCAGAGGCTGCGGGCAGCTTCACAGCCCAGCGCTCAACCGCTGAGCCACCGGGTAGGCCCATGGTGGCTTTTCTTACTATGTTTTCTTTGACCAATCAGTTCCTGTAACCCAAATTTCTGGAACTTGTACCTCAGACACCCCTCCTCTTGGTCTTTTAGGATCCCTTCTCCTGGAAGTTCCCTGAACAGCCCTTTCCCTCTCATTCCACACTCAACCCAGGTCAGTGACCCCCAGGTCTGTGTTCCTGGCCTAACCTCTCCTCTGCTCCGTGGCCCACTGCCACATCCACCTACAAGTGCCACTTTCAAGAATAAACACGTGATCCTCTCCCCACACTCATTTTGTCTCCCGTGTCAATGACATGGGCAAAACCATTGCCATCGAGCCATCCCCAGTCACCCCTGCCTATTCTCACTGCCTTTCCGAAGATTGGTGGGTGGCATGTTCTAGGGTTCCTCCTCCTGAGCCTCTCTCACTGCCCTACTTCAGGACCAACTGTTGCAATAGTTGTCCTGCAGGTCTCACCACTTCTTGCCTCCTCCCCTTAATCCACTCTCCTCAGAACTGCTAGAGTCATTCTTCTGCTCAAAATTCCTCCATCGCTCTTCATGCCCAAATAAAGTTCTGTCTCTCAACACAGTGCATGAGGGCACCCCCACCCCATCCCCCAGTTCATGCTACTCCTGTAATAAATGGCTCACAGTTCCCCAGACATGATGGGCTTTCTCATGCCTTTTCAGAAACCACTCACTTGGCCATGCAAACCCTCCCCACAGCCCTGTTCTCCTGGTAAACACCAATTCTCCCCCTCAGAAGTCAGTTAAAGTGCTATCATCTCTGGGCAGTCTACCTGATTTCCCAGCAGACTTAGGGACTCCTCCTCTAAGATCCCCCCATGGGGACATTGTTCCTCCATTCCACCTGCAGTCTCCCAGAGGCCAGGCCCAGGTCATCACTGAGATGAGCACTGGCACAATCCAGGAGAGAAAGTCCTGGTCTTTTGGGGCCTTTGATCAATTTTTACCCATCACCTAGATAGTCTCTGAACCCAGCTCACCTTTTACCCTGTCCCATTAAGTCCTACATATATGCATATATATATGTACACAAATAGATCCAAGAGAATATATTTATACCTGTGATATACACTGATGTTTTCTATTTGACTTCTTTTTTTTCTTTCTTCTTTTTTAATGCTCGTAATGATACCAAATTAAATCCCTCTTCTACGAGTTAGTGCCAACCAACCATTAGAATACCTCTGCTGTCGTCACTAGGGATCAAAAAGAGTTGCCAGCAGGGGAACAATGTGATTAGAAGGGTGGCTTAGTGCTTCTCAAATGTTCTATTCTGTGAATTCCAATCTGTCACATACTCTAATTTTAAAAAAATACAAGTTTTAGATAACTAAGATTTTTAAAAAATATAATCCCTGATTCATTATCATTAGCTTCAGCAACCACCAGACTGGGGCCAGATGTGTGTGGGAATTTGCCAGTCCTGATGCCACACCTGCCTTGCCTCTCTAGCCTGGGGCAATGCCAACTAGATAGTCTGAGGGGCTCTGCTTAGGAAAAAGGTGTGCTATGCGGGCCCATGCCTTGTCAACAGAGCCAGGCTGCCTGAGTGCACATCTGACTCACCTGCCTACCAGCTGTGCACTGTGGAGAAAGGACTTAACCTCTGTTTCCTCCTAGGATTATCCTGGGAGATTAAAAAAGCAATTCAACCACAGGGCTTGGCCCAGGGCTGGAACCTGGCTGACACTCCACCTATTTGCTGCCCTGTTCATGATTCTGTTCTTGTCATCTCCTGTCTTTCTGAGTCAGCCTCATCTGTGAAGGTCTTTTCTCTTTGACCCTGGCTGATTACTTAGGCCAAAACTTCACCTTCCTTAGTTCCTCACTTCTCTGTCTCTAGCCATCAGAAAACAGCTTGCACCCTATGTGGCAGAGAAAACGGTGAGCACAAGCTTCTTCCTGCCCCAGATTCTCTTCATTCCCACATCCTTTCTGGGGGGGGGGTTGAGGGGAGTTGTTGTCTGTGCCCATTCAGGCTAATCCTTCCATCTGAGCTCAACTTACCTGCCCCCCTCCTCTCTCCACTGATGGGAGCTTTTATCCAGCAATCATTCCCACCCTCTTCTGGGAAGCCTTCCAAAGAGTCAAGTCACTAGTGTGCTGGTCCATGTTTAACAAGAGGCCCCTCTAAAGAAAAAAAAATGTAGTCGTGGATATGCATATATGAGTTTACTGCAAATTTTACTGACACAGGGGTGTTTAGTAATTTATAGGTAATAATAAAATATATAGCACTTCTTATTATAAATTGCATATAGCCAACTGAACCTCACGGAATGATTTCACTAATTTTTTTACTAACCTGTTGAATTCATAACCAATCTATAGCTATGCAAATAAGTGTAGTTCCAACATGAATGTTGACTGATATTTTTGTTTGCACCAACTAGTAAAAAAAAAATGAACTAATGAAGATATACATTGGAACTTCACGTATATGTCAATGATATAAGTAACTGCAATGACTCAGAAATAGTTTTTGAAAGCTGAAGAATATTTGCTTAATATTTCTGTACCATCCACAATGTAACTGGTCACATGCACAACACACACTTAAGTTTAATGTTCGTTATTAACATTTTCTTTATAATTTTCTCAGACAATCAAGTCAGGACAATCAACATTTTCTCTATAATTTTCTTAAACAATCAAATCTAGACAATCAGGAAAACAATAAATCAAGCCCTGATTTGTGTTGTTTGCCAATGCCCATGGTGTAAATATTCACGCCACAGCCAATTTCAAGCTACCGAAGTGATGTCACTGAATGCAGAATGGGGGAAGAAAAGCACAGTAACATAACACCATATAATATTTCCACAAACATACAGTTGCAAGTAATCTTAAAAGCGTAAGCAATAAAATATTGTCAAATTCTTAGGAAATAATGAATTTTGAGTTTTTATCTTTGCTTTTAATAAAAGCTATATAATTATAACTTTATATATTTTAATGTTTAAATGATACTGAAGTTTAACTACTGTCACAAAATTCCAGAATATTTAATAGTCAGCTCTCAGCAGCTGGTAGGATCTGAGCATATATCTGATCCTTCCCCCCAGTTCTGCCTTCAATTGTGCTCTCATAAAGCCCCTTCCAATGTACACTTTTCAGGTCTTACAAGCAAAACTGAATTCATTTTCTTGCTCTCAAATCTATTCCTCTCCAGGGCTGCCATCTTGGTGAGGGTCTTCATCTTCAACCCAGAAACTGCATCACACGTCATCATCAGGCATCACAACCTTCACTCTGTCCCCTGGCCTGCTTGGAGTCACACCCACAACCTCTTAATTGAACCACTATCACTTCCTCTCCAGACCTTCCATATCCAGGCACTGTCCACTCCTGCCCCTCTTCTCCATGGCATCAAAAGCACTCATTATGTCCTACCCTGTTCCGTGCTGGGTGAAATCAGTTTTCCCGGAGCCTAATAGTCATTGTTTCTGGTCTCATCTTCCCAGATCCATCTCTAGCATGCCCTGCCCATTTAACTTCTGCTCCAGCTGCAGAACTAAGTTCAGTTCTTTTAACAGATCCCTCTCTCCCAAACCTCCATGCCTTTTAACTGCCATTCCTTGTCCCTAGAATACTCTTCTTCAAATTCAGTTTCACAAATTCTCTGCCATTCTTCTGAACACTCTGCAAATATTACCTCTCTACTCAGGATCCTGGGGGTTGTACCCCTTGATCTGAGCTTTGATGGATGAGGAATCAGCCAAGGGGGTGTGGGGAAGAGTGCTTTAGGAAGAGGGAGGCAGATGCAATGATTCTGAGAGCAAGACATGTTGGAAGCTACATATGATTCAATGTGGGTAACCCTTAAAGGTCAAGGAAGGTGACCAGATCCTGAAGGGTTTTAACTGGCACATGGAGAAAGTCTGATAATGATGAAGTATAATGGGAAGCAATAGATGTCTTCCTGGTTCAGAATTCCAGGTCCTTCAGAAAGATCAATTTGAGAACTAATGGAGACATATGGGGTAAGAATCAAGACACTGGGTTAAGAGATGGAATTGATAGTGTAGTTAAGAACTTAAGTAGTTAAGAACTGCTTAACTACATTCAGTGGCAGAGAGCGGCAGGCAGATGGGAAGGGAGTGTGGAGTAGAAATGGTAGTGCTGGGTGACCTGAAGGGAAGGACTAAGGGGGCTTCCCAGGCAAGCTGGAGGCTAGAGATCCTAGAGGAGCAGCCTTGGGGTTGGAGGGGGGTGCAGGGGGCAACTATGAGTTCATCTAGGGACTTGCTGGGTGTGAAGTACACACAGTGCACTGAAGTGGAAAGACAATAAGTGCCTTCACCAGTTGGTTATCAGAATATGGACTTCAAGGAAAATTACTGATTGAAAAGTGAAATTTTGGAAGTTGCCAGCAAGTTGGTATTTGGAAATCTCCTTCATGGAGGCAGGGAGTTTATTGAGAGGAGGGTCTCACACAAACCCTATGGAACACCAGCATTTAAGGGCTGGTCGTGGAAGAGGAGACTGGGGAAGGAGAGAGGAAGAGAGGCCAACAACAGAATTGACAAGAAAGGACAATGGTTCAGGGAGGAGAGGGTGTTTTCTACATAGCTCAACTACGGCAAAGATTCATATACCCAAGGAATTTAGCAAGTTGGGGTTTACTGGTGGCACTGGTGACAATGGATGAAGGAAGAGTAGGCAGTAAGGTAAAGCTCAAGGCGAAAGAGAAAAGGAAGTTGGGAAGATGGGATGATAGATACCAGGGGTCTGGGGTAGACCCAAGGCCAGCTGAAAGGATTAGCTTTGGGCTGGCAGAAGTGCCCTCCAAAAGACGTGCAAGATAGACACAAGAGTGGACCCATGGCAGGCTGCTATGCCACTGACACTCAGGAAGGCAGTGTCAGTTCAGATGGTCTGGGGGCAGATGCTAAATGGAGTAAAAAGCACAGGATATGTGAGGGGCAGGGGGAAACGCCTGTGAAAGACACAGGGAGAAAGAGCAGGAGTGGACAGAAAATGCCTTCAGGCTGAGAGCAGGTGAAGCCTCAGATCTGGGGCAGAAGTGGCCTGTCCACTGCAACTCTGCTGCACTCACAGCACCACTGGCTGCAGCAGGGTGGAGAGGGACCTGATGACCTCTGAGCTCCCTGCCTTCAACCCCCACCAGGCAGGTTCCCTCTGGCAGGGAAATCTGAGGGGACTCTTCCATGACTGCCCCAGTGAAGGTCTCCTTGCATCCTCTGATTTTTCAATGAAATAGTTTGGGGTTCTTTGCCAGATATCTTTACAGATAAAGGGCAGTGGGGAAGGCTTGGGACTCTTCTAGGGGGAAAGGAAAGGCAAACACTGGCTGCTTGAGGCTGGTAGATCCAATCCTGTGGGGAAGATGAGGGCAGCAGGAAGTTGACGTGACCTAGCCTGGCCATTAGCAGAGGAAGGGCAGTGGAGGGGAGGTGTGGAAGGTTTGGGGAAAAGAGTGGCAGATGTGATAGAAAGGGTCTGGCCTTCAGGAGAAGGAAGTGAGGGTGGAATGGGAGGCAGCAGAGGTTGCAGGGGGCAGAATACTATGATAAAGGGGAACTTATAAACTTATGATAAAGGGGAACTCATGATACCTGGGGAACTCTATGATAAAGGCTGGTAGGAGTTGTGAATTTTGAAAACTCTGGAAAGGAGAAAGCTGAGATCAGAGAGTGGGGATTCTGGAATTGTCTTAGAGCCGAGATGGCATAGTTCGGGTAATGACAATGTTCCTGACTGAAAAGATCAGTAGCCATGAGACCAGGATCTGAGGTCATGGACTGATGGCACGTTCATATTCCTGTCACATTCCCTGTCAGCTAGCTGTCCTGCAAAACTGTGTCTGACAGCCCCCAGAGATCCTGTGGGCAGGGCTGGTCCCTGGGCACAGAGCAGGCCCTGGTCACATGCCTGGCAACTCCCTGCCAACATACCCTTCTGGAAGAGTCCCAAGTTAATTAAGGCTTGATCATCAGGCAGGAGAGTCAATCCAGTCAGAGGGCCCAGAAGGCTGAAAAGCTCTGGTCCCAGCACTTGAGGTCAGGGCTCCCTCTGAGACAAGACGAGGGTCTGGAGGGAAAGTGGAAAAAGGTATTTAATAGAGGACTGGACTGTATCCAGGTGCTCAGAGAGGGCTTTCCAGAGACGAGGCCTAGTCATATCTCTGAGGAAGGAAAGGGCTGTCCTAGGTGAAGTCAGGGTTGTGAATGTGATACACTGGCCCAGCAAGAGCTCACTCAACCTGCCTTTCCTTCCTTATCACACTGCGTTCCCTGGGGCTTTTGAAGGGGCCTTGCTCTCCTTCAACCAAAAAACATTTGCCCATGCCGTTCCTTTCCCTGGAAAGATTCCTAGCCTCCTCCCCCATCCTTTAGCGGGTGATAAGTTAGAAAGCAACCTAGAATTACTTGAGGGAAAGACCAGCAAATACATTTGAATTTGCCAAGAGACTGACACCAGCTTCACTCACTCAGAGACAGAGGCCAAGTCTGGTTTTCTCCCTGTGGTACTGCATCTTTACCAGCAAAATGTGGACCTTGCAAAGTGGAAGGAGTGAAGCATGAAGGAGATATAACCCAGATGCCTTTCACTGTGTCCGGTACAAAGTAAGTTACTTACTGGTCAGATGAAGGAAAGGACCTGGCAAAAGCTACATACACAAAGCCCCTCCACCCTGTCCCCATGGTCAATAAATTTTCTTTTGGTGGCGCTGGGAGAGGATCCATTTCTAGTCATCCTCGGACCACAGGCATGTGTCAGAGAATGCACACCTCTGGGCATAATAGGTTACACCTGTCCTTGCTCAAAAGTTACAGGAAGTTACTAAATGGACCAAATGAAGAACAAGCATGCTTGCTGCTCGCTGTTCTCTCTCCCACCCCCAGCTGTTGCCTCATAGAGGGTCAAAAGAGTCAAGATAAAATCTGCCCAACTCATAGTTCCAAAGAAATAGGAGTTAGAAGTGTGACCCAACTGGACTCTGCCCTCCTAGTCCTATCTCACCTAACCGTGTGGCTCCAGGGAGTCCTTGACCCAAGATGGGCAACCTCTGAGGCCTGTACTTTCCTGCATGAAAGTCCCCTTCATGAGTCTATTTTGAGTCTATTCTGATCTCTCATAAGGTCCAAATCTGGTTTCATTTCCTGGTAAAGGACCCAGTTATATCCACCTTCTTGATAAAATGTTGGGTGTACATCAGGGAGGAGTGGAAACCCATGATCCTCCACTCCTTACCCTCAGTCCACTAGCTTCTCAGAAAAGCTCGGAGGCAAATGTCCTTGGGAGCCTGGTCCAGTCCCACAGCACCTCACTCCCTCCAATCTGACCTTGGTTAGGCTGCAATGTGGATGGGCAGCCTTCACCCCAAACCTGATACTGGGAGGCACAGAATCAGCCAGGCATCAACTTCAGAGTCTCTGAGGTTGAGTGGCAACCTTCAGGCAGGCAATGAAACCCTGAGAAATCTAACTCTGCTACACAGGAAAGAATAAAACCAAGGGGCTTTCCTGGTGGCACAAGGGGTTAAGTCTCAGCACTATGAAGCAATCCGCAGCCACTACAGCATGAATTCGATCTCCAGCCAGGGAGCTACCCACATGGTGTGGCAGATGTCTCTTGTCTCACCCACTGCTCTCCTCAGCAGTGTATTTCAGTAGATCCACCTGTTCTGCTCCCCACTCTGTCTCTGGTGAATCCTCTCATCCGGCCCCCCTCCACCTCTGGTCTACATCCCAGCTCTTGTATGCATAAATAAATAAAATCTTCAAATGAAAAAAAGAATATAATCAAGACACATCCCTGGCTATAAAACACTTCCTTCCTAGTACCTGACACAGGGCCTTTTTACACAGAGGTGTTTTCAGATATTACTTGTTAACTATTTTTTGTTGAATGAATGACACAGACACTAATTTTGTACACTTCTGGGTTAAGAAAACAGTTTACCAGCCTCTTTCCTTTTACCCAGAGACCTCACCTCACCCACCAATGGACAACCATGGCAGACCTCCCTCTCCCTCCCCACTCAGTGTCCCAGTCAGTGGGATGGCATAATGTTCCCTTTCCACTCAAGCACAGTTCCCTCTTCCCCATACTCCGCTTCTACTCTCTTCTGCCTTACGCAAGGGACACACAGAGCCCTACCCCCAATCAACCTTTGTGAAATTGTCTGAGGATAAAAAAATGCTAGAATACTTCCCACAAACACACACGCACACTGAAGAAGCACAATCTAGATAAAAATCTCACCAAAACATTTTTTAAAATTATGGGATTCCCCAGTGTCTCAAAAGAAAATACTGGCAGCAAGCCCACTGTGGGTGAGAAATCACCAACAAGGGGACTCTGCACCCCCTCTAAGAATTCAGTAGTTGTTTCAGAGTTGTCACTACTCCCATGTCCCCAACCACACCATAAATTGTGCAAGATGCTGTTGAAAGCACAGGAACCTCAAAGCCAGGAACCCCTTAAAGGCAGGAACCTCAAGTTCCAAACTCACCACTGCCAGTAAGTAGCTGTGTAACCTTAGGCAAGTTCCTTAGCATCTCCAGGTTTTCCTCTTTCTCTCTGTAAAATGAAGGATGGGTTTGGATTTCTACCATATTCTCATAGTGCCTAGTCCAGTGTCACTTAGGGAGGTCTTAATAAACACAAATAAAGAAGAAAGGCCCAACATGATTTTGGAGTCAATAAAAGCCTAACAAAAGGCAGGTGTAAGTTAAGATGTAGATAAGTCTTGGGTAATATTCCTCAACAAATTCACTAGCTGGATAGAAAGCATCTTTGAATGATCAAAAGGTCTCAGGATCTCCTCTTTCCATGACAAATTTTTAGCACATGGGGTGAAGGGGAGCGGTAGTAATGAGGAGAAACTCTGTGGGGGAAGTGGAGGGGCTGATTGTGACAGAACCACTGAGGGTGAGCTTACTGGTCTCACTCTAGCTGCCCTGCTCCAAGATGTTTTGGGCCTCTCTTACAGGGTGGTGAGTTCCAAATGTGGGTCCCTGCTTTAGGGTAGTGCATGGTGACAGTGGCACTTGTCTGCCCAGGGACTAGTTACAAACCCAGACACTTCCCACCCCAAACCCAAGGAGGAAGCAGGTTGAGGTGTTCTTGGACCATCTTTACATGAACACAGCTAGCCACATATGGGTCCCCAACTACTGGAGAAAGGAAGACCGCCCTCTGGAGCACAGGTATGCAGGCAAGGGCCTTATGTCCAGACAGTGATCGCAGAACTCTGAGAAATTTGTACTCTTACCCTCAGAGACCCTCATCCCAAGGGGTTCTTATGTTCCTCTCAATACACTCTCTCCAACTCTTTAGGATTCAGGGGGACACAAGAATCCAGCCGGGAGTCTCTTCAGAGAGGGTTTTCCCAGACTGGCTGTGAGAACAGTCACATATTGTCCAAGGACATATGCCTCTGGTTCCCTCTGCCCCACTGAGGGGACACACCGGTGGGCTAAGGGCTCAGCTTTAGCATCAGATCAGCTCTGCCTCTCATACACCATGTGGTGTGGTCATGAGACTATGGGAAAGCTACCTGGCTTTTGGGAGCCACTGGTTCATCTTTCATAAAATGCAAACAATAGGATCAACTCAATAAGCAGCTATGCAGATTAAATGAGAGAATGCTCAGAGAGCACCTTTAGGCCAAGCCCAGAGCTAACTCATATTTACCATGATGATTACACACAGCTACAAAAAGCCCTCAAAGGTTAGACCAACAGGCCTCAGTAAAATTATGTCAGCGATGCTCTTAAAAGGATCCTATCAGGTCACATGATAGTGACTGGAAAGGCCAGGAACACCAGAATAGAAAAGAAACCTTGCCATCCCAGGAAGACTCTTAAGTACTCTAGGAAGATGAGTGGTCATGGCAGTTTTAGAGATTATGGAATCCATAACTAAGGAAACTTAGCTCAGAGACAATGAGGGTCCTGCCTATAGTCACGCTGTAGGTTTGTGACATAACTGGATAAGAGGATATATCTCCAATTTCTTCTCAGTATGATCAGATTATTTTCTGAGATATTAGTCTGTTTAGATGACTGTATTTTTATTTTCCCTCCAATTCAAGGTCTTATATCTGTCCTCTTTGGTTTTCAGTGCCAGACAGAAGCTACTCCAGGCCTTTCCTTTCCTTTATATGTTTTCCTCAGCTTGGGTTCCTTGCAGACTTTTTTTTTTTTTTAAGATTTATTTATTTATGCATACAAGAGCTGGGGTACAGGCCAGAGATGCGGGAGAGGGGCGGAGGGTGAGAGGATTCACCAGAGACAGAGTGGGGAAGAAAATAGGCAGACTGACTGAAATACACCTGAAGGGAGCAGCAGGCAAGACAGAAAAGGTCTGCTGCACCATGTGGGTTAGCTCCCTGGCCGGAACTCGTGCTGCAGTGGCTGCAGATAGCTTCATAGTGCTGAGACTTAATCCCTTGGGCCACCAGGGAGGCCCCTACTTGCAGACTCTTAAGGATAGTGTCTTGAGGGCCTCCCGGTGGCGCAGCGGTTGAGCGCTGGGTTGAGAAGCTGCCCGCAGCCTCGACAGTGCCGGTTCGATCCTCGGCTGCTCCCCGGCCACCGGAGGAGGGTCCCACACCCCAGCCACAGGAGGAGGGTCCCACATGGCGCGCAGACCTCTCCTGCTGCTCGCTGCTCCCCTCAGCAGTGTACTTCGGTCCTTCTGCCTGCTCTGCTCCCTGCTCTGACTCTGGTGAATTCTCTCACCCTCCCGCGCTTCTGACTGTACCAAGTGCTTGTATGTATGTATGTATGTATGTATAAATAAATAAATAAATAGATCTTTTTAGATAAATAAATAAATAAAAATTAAAAAAAAAAAAAGGGATAGTGTCTTGAAGGCCACCCTGGGAGGTAAGAAAATGAGAGAAAGAGAAGGGGGAAACTAGAGCAGAGGAGTGACATCCTCCTTATGTTCTATACCCCCACGGAGGGGCAGGCCTCAGAGTTGAGGAGGCAAGGGTCTGGGCGCAAAGCCCAAGCATGCCTGCGGGTAGAGTCTGAGCCTTATAGGGTACCTGAATCCATACAGTACACAAACCATAGAAGTGCTCTTTTTCTGGGCAGCACTGTGAGCATCCTGGATCCTGGGGTGGCTCTTGGTCAGGGGGCCCTTAAATGATGGAGATAGAATTTCCTCTATTCAGGCAAGATGTGATCTCAGGGTTGGAACTGAGTTGATCTCAGGGACATTTCTTAAGACCTGAGGTGGTGGATTGAGATTTACTTACTATCTAAATACGGGACTGCCAGATTGACTTCACATCATTCCCCAGAACTGCCCACTTACAGTACTTTACAAAATAACTCCAAAATCATCCATTTGATCCCTGAGATTCAGTCCACTTAACAGATGAAAAAAACTAGTGTTCAGAAAATGGACCAAATTTGCTCCAGTTCACATAGGTAGTAAGAGAACTAGGATAAAACCCTAATTCTCCTGACTCAGACAATCCCTGTACAACATACCATTGCCCACGCTATCTGGCTCCTCAGAACAGCTGTTCTCTGGAGTGTCAGCAGAGCCCACTCTCGCAGACATCACCCAATGTTGTCAGCCAGGTTTCAGGGCTGAGGGCAGCTCTTCTGGAGAAACAAGGTCTTTAAGGAGCTTCTGGGCAGGCCTGCCCTTCCACATGGCTTGCTTTGGAGACTTTGCAGGATGCAGCGTCAGCTTTCTAGATGCTCACTTGGTACTAGTTGTTTGTCATTTTGAATGGAGGCTGAAGGCCCTATAGATTGATTGGAAAATCAGAATCAAAAAGTATAAGTGGCCACCAAACAGATGAAAAAATCTGTAAACCCATTAGCAATTATGAAATGCACACTAAATTCACATATTCACATTATTGTTGTTGCTGTATACCTATTAGGCTGGCAAAAGTATAGGTATAACATAAGTATTCTCCTATACTATTGATGTAAATATTTAAATAAATGCAACTATAAATTGATGCAACTTTTCTACACTCACACACACACACACACACACACACACATACACACACGAAAAACCTGAAAAGCATTCACAGCCCAAATACATCATTGTTTCTTAAATGGGCTCCTAGAATGTAAAAAGGACATTAATAGGAAAATAGTGAAAGGCAAAGTCTAGAGTTTGGTTAACATATTTATTTGTTTTGATGAAAGTACTCTGGTTAGGTAAAGGTTAACATTAGAAGAAGCTGACAGGTATACAGGAACTCTAGACTCTCTTCCCTTTTTTTGCAAATTTAAAATTTTATTTCAAAGTGGAAGGTTAACTTTTTTGTTATTCACATTCTTTTACCCCAATTTTATCTCAAAATTTGTCAGAGATACAGATGGACATTTACATATAAGGATATTGCACCACTTAATCACAAAAATGTGAAAATTATCTACCTCTCCAAAAATAGCAGATTGATTAAATTATGATGCATCCAAGGATATATATATATATAATGTGGTCAGAAATAATCAATATAATAATACTTATTCACATGGAAAATGCTTACAACAGCAAGTAAAGTAAAAGGATTAGGACACAGACTATGTACCTTTTAAGTTCAAGTCTTCAAATAATGTACTTAAGAAAAAAGGAAAAAAGCCAACATATTAAAGGTAACTATTAATAGGTCACATAATAAGAGTCAATCTTATTTCCTCCTGGATACATTTACATATATCATAAATTTTCTACAATGAACATGTTATGTTTATAATCAGGAGAAAGGACACTAAAACTTTCCTAATCATGGCAGTTCCTCAAAAAACAATTACCATGACAGCAATTCTACTGAAAAAGTATTTCCACAAAAAATTACACCTGAATGTTCACAGCAGTAGTATTTATAATAGCTTAAGGTAGAAGCAATACACATGACCATCAAGATAAACCAAATGGCAAATCTACAAATGGAATACTGCACAGCCATAAAAAGGAATAAAGTACTAATATATGCTGCAACACAGGTAAACCTTGAAAAAACATGTTAAGTGAAAGAAGTCAGACATGGGAGGTCACTTACTGTATGATTCTATTCATATGAAATGTCCAGAATAAGCAAACCCATAAAGATATAAAGCACAGGGGGTTAGGGAATGACTATTAATGGGCCTAGGGTTTCTCTGGGGAATGACTAAAATATTCTGGAATCAGATAATGATGATGGTTGTTCAAACTTGTGAATAAAGTAATAATCAATGGATTTTTATACTTTAAAGGGGTAAATATTGTGGTTTGTGATCATATCTAAAAAGAGAAAAAGAAAAAAAATTTCCCTACTCAAAAGTCACATTTTACTGCTTCTCATAATTTTCCTTTAAAAAAGAAATTGTTTTGGGCCTCCCCTGGTAGCGCAGTGGTTGAGCGATGGGTTTCGAAGCTGCCCACAGCCTCTGCAACACTGGTTCGATCCCCAGCCACTGGACGAGGGTCCCACATGGCGTGACAGACCTCTCCTGCCGCCCGCTGCTCCCCTCAGCAGTGTATTTCAATCAGTCTGCCTGTTCTGTTCCCCGCTCTGGCTCTGGTGAATTCTCTTACCCTCCCGCGCTTCTGACTGTACCCAGTGCTTGTATAAATAAATAAATAAATAAATAAATAAATAAATAAATAAATAAATAAATCTTTTTAAAAAAAAAAAATGTTTTCCTTCCTTTAATGATGCTCGAGCTGGTGGAGTCTAACTGCCCCTGCCCATCCGTCCCCCTACTCCCGTCCCCCCATCAGGCCTGTGTAAACAGGGCAGACAGTCACCATTTGTGTGGGAGATGGAGTCCTGGGAAGGTGATTGTGTCTGGAAATCTCTCTCCTCACACCAGGCCCCTCTTCCCTCCACACATTCACCTGTCTCGGGTACTCCAGCTACACTGCCCAGGAGGCCCCACAACAGGGAGCTAATCCTTACAGTTGTGTTTCGAAAATGACACTATGTCCGCGTATTAAATCTCCCTATTAAATACAAGTTTTCAGGCTGGGGGAGTTGGAAGGTGGAATATAAATTTTCTGAGATTTAAAATTTACCACTTTGTGGGAATTAACTGATCAGGGCTTCCTAACACACAGCTGGGTGAAGGGAGGGAGACACAGAGGACAAAAAGAAAGGGATGCTCACAGCGAGCAGTCCTGGCAGGAACAGACAAGTGGCATATGAGGGTTCTAGCACTAGGAATTTTTCAGGAGAGGACAGAGGCATAAAGACAAATACACTGACTTTTCACCTGAGAAGGCAAACGGAAGCTGGTCACCATAAAATCTTTTTTTTTTTTTTTTTTTTTTTTTAAAGATTTATTTATTGATGCATACAAGAGCTGGGGTACAGGCCAGAGATGCGGGGGGTGAGAGAGAGTAGGGAACAGAACAGGCAGACTGGCTGAAATACACTGCTGAGGGAAGCAGTGGCCAGTCAGGAAAAGTCTGCTGCACCATGTGGGTTGCTCCCCAGCTGGCCAGGGACCGAACTTGTGCTGCAATGGCTGCAAATAGCTCCATAGGTTGCGTCTTAACCCCTTGCGCCACCAGGGAGGCCCATCACCATAAAATCTTAGACCTCTGAAGTGTGAGCACCTGAGCCCTAGGGATCTTTTAGACATCCTGAGGGGATGACATCGCTGTGGTAGAATATTGGAAGCAGAATAGTGGAAGGGAAGTGAAAGAACTGGCAAAGCCCTTCCCACCCAGAGCCCTTTGGAGGACAAAGCGCCTAAGGACACTCAACTCCTTAATACTTGTGTTTTCTATTTTTCTCAGTTGAGTCTCTCATTCAACTGGATACCCAAAGTCTCCTAGTAGCCTTCCTTAGAACATAGGTCCTGCAGGACAGAGCCAGAAGGAAAGTAACAAGAAGAGTCAGTTCTGAAAAAGTAGATGTAGACAGAAGAAAAATGAAAATTTTAAAACTGGCCTGAAGCTGTTTTTCATAGATTGTAAAGAAATTCATAAAAAGCAATGTGAGTGTTTGGGCTTGGGACTCTTGGATGACGGGGAGGAGGCAGGAGGCCCTGGGGCAGGGTAGTCATTTGAGTAAAGATGTTACCCTCCTGCCTCCCTCCGGCAGGACTGGGCCAGGCTGGGCCAGGCAGACACTGTGTTGAAATTAAAAACTGGTGAAGGAATTTAAAGAACACAGGAGTGTGGGGGAAGAGTAGTCACACAATTCTGCACATGAGGGCTCACCTGGAAGGCCTGATGAGCACTGGGGTAGAAGTGGAAGATTCTCATGTGTAGCGGTCAGTGGTCCCACCTGTCCAGCAATACTTACCCTCCTACTTCAGAAGACAGCACCTCACTTTTCTGAGAGAACTCCATTTCCCTCAATTCCCACTGGGACTGTTGGCAAAGGATCCAAACCTGTGTGGTCAAGGAGACTCTGTCTGACTCAGAGGCTAATACTAACTTTTACCCAGACAGATTTCCTATTCCTTAAACCTCAGGACCACCTTTCCTCATCTTCTTGAGGTCTCAGAGTCAAGCCTTTCCCCAATCTCTGAGGTAGGATTCTCCTAATAAAGGATGGCTTGGGAACAATGGGAGGTGGGGGCCTTATGTGAGTCAGACCCACTTTTACTAAGGGTCTACCATGTGCCAAGAATAGCATGGGACTGTCACATACATTAATCTCTCACTCAACAGATGCAGAAACTAGGACTCAAGCGATATTAACAACAGTCTAGTGCTCTACAATGAAAGGAGATGGAGAAGGGACTCTGGTCCAGTTTGGTCTAGCGTCTAAGCCTAGGTCCTCCCTCCCTCCCTCTTTCTTTCATTCCTTCCATCCCTCTCTTCTCTTTCTTTTGGACCTTCAGGCAGAGAGTTGAGTCAACTGAACTCCTCAGTTCCTAGCAATTGATCATCACTGCTCCACACAAAGCCTCTCTTGTTTCATTACCCACATTCTCCACACCTCACTGCTCCAGGATCACACTTCACATGTTCGAGAGGTCAGGCTACTCACTGACACTCTGTGTATCTAGGAGATCAAGACTTTGGGTTTGTTTTCTTAAGGATCAAAATCCTATTTTAATTGGAAAACACGTCTAGGTGACTCTCCAATACTCCCATAATTGGTCAACACACCAGCCCTATTATGGGCTAAATTCTGGACTTAAGATGTAGAATTGGTAAAGAAGAGGCCCTCGAGAAGTTTAAAATTCATGTATCCACTACTCAATAACTACATATAGAGCACAGACTTCATGTGCCAGGTCCAGGGAGAGAAGACGGATGCTCTCTGACAGTTAAGAGTCTGGAGGGGGAACCGACTGGGAGAACATTTTTGCATACAACACTAATGATAAAGAACTGATCACAAAAATCTACAAAGAGCTGATGAGACTCAACAACAACAAAGAAAAGAATCCTGTCAAAAAATGGGCAGAAGAGCTAAAAAGAAACTTCTCTGAAGAGGAAATGCAAATGGCCAACAGGCATATGAAAAAAATGTTCAACATCACTTGTAATCAGGGAAATGCAAATCAAAACTACCATGAGATACCATCTTACACCAGTGAAAATGGCACATATTAAAAAAACTAGCAACAACAAATGTTGGCGAGGATGTGGAGAAAAAGGAACTCTCCTGCACTGTTGGTGGGAGTGCAAACTGGTCCAGCCACTGTGGAGAGCTGTGTGGAGATTTCTGGACCTACTAAACATAGAGCTTCCATATGATCCAGCAATTCCACTCCTAGGTATTTACCCAAAGGACACAGAAACATCCATTCCAAAGAGCACCTGCACCCCTATGTTTATAGCAGCACTATTTACAATAGCTAAGCTTTGGAAACAGCCCAAATGCCCAAAAACAGATGACTGGATCAAGAAGATGTGGTACATATACACCATGGAATATTACTCAGCATTCAAAAAGATAAACACATGCAATTTGCAGCAACATGGATGGAGCTGAAAGGGATCATGCTCAGCGAAATAAGCCAGAAAGAAAAAGAAAAATACCAGATGGTCTCACTCATAGCAGAAATCTAGAAAACTTAAATAAGGGACCAGGAAAAAGAATAACTATAAGAAAGTAAAAATCAAAATCAACAAACAACTATGAACCAGAGACACTCTTTGGGGGATGGGGGGCGGGGAGGGGAAGGGTCAAAATAAGGGGGTCGCAATTGTATGGGGAATATAAAAAAAATAAACAAATAAATAAAAAGAATAAAATTTTAGTATAAAAAAAGAGTCTGGAGGGGGAGAAGACAAATAAGCATAAGCAATCAGACCTATGTCACAAGGTTGTGACAGGGGAGGTGCAGGAAAGTCAGGTGAACACACCTGGTCAAGGCTTGGATAGCAATATTAATTCCATAAATCATTAAGAAATATAAATCTATTAAGTATAACTGTTTCTTTTCACCTGCCTAAGAATCAAATCGTGACAATGGATCGAATTTTCATCTAATGTGAAGGGGAAGTCTGAGATGACCAGACTTAAAAAGCAGACCATGTGTCAGGCAGTGAGTTAAGTTTGGATGCCTGGGGGGATACCTCAGGGAAGGAAGCATTAGTCCTAGACTTGTGGAGACTGGGGACACAGGAGGTATGTCTAATGGGACACAGATATTCCCATATGTAGACACCTTCACTCAAGAAAACAAACAGGGTGTCTAACACGGATCCCAACCAAAAGACACAGCACAGAGGGCACTCCCCTGCAGGCAGGAGTCACAACTAGGCTCCTTCCCACATGGGTAACTCTACATGTGACCCTGGGATAGGTGGCAGAGGTGCAGTGTGAACAGTGAACAGTGGAATGTTCTCCTGATCAGTCCAGGTGCCTATCAAGTGTGAAGGGAGAAGTGAGCACCACTCCCTACCCTTGACATACATGAGTGTGCCCAGCATGGAACCTGCTCATCAAGAGCTGGTCCCCTGAGGTAGGTCCGGTCCCCCATATCAATGAGTCCATATGGAGAGACCTACAAGGTTCTTCAATTCAAACCTTTTTGTCCCCAGCCCAGCTGTGCTGAACAAGGGGCGCTCACAGTGACAGTTTCCTAGACTATGCCCCTGCAGCAGATCTCAGGAAGTTCTGACATTAAGCCCAGGCCCTTCTCACTCAGGATCTGGGTACCATTCGGCCCAGATGGTAAAGGACACAAGAGCTATCAGAACCCCCTTCTGGGAGCCCAGACTGCTGGTGTCATGCCGATTGGGATGAACTGGCTCACTGTGTCTCTCTCACTGGAGCCAGGACAGCAGGAGGGGAATGTGAGGTAATTCAGTGGGATAACTTTCAACCTGCTCTAAGCTGGCACTGAAGAAGGTCCCCATCAGTGCAGTGTAGTGCATAAGACCATTCTTCACACACCCTTCAAAAAGTGTGGAGCCAGCAATTCCACTTCTGGGATATACCACAAAGAATTAACAGCGGAGATTCAAACAGATATTGGTATGCCAATGTTCATGGCTAGTATTATTCACAACAGCCAAAAGGTGGAAATAACCTAATGGATAAACAAATATGGTGTATAGCTACAGAATATTATTAAGCCTCAAAAAAGAAGGAAATTCTTGCACTTGCTCTCACATGAATGAACCCTGAAGGCAAACACAAAAGGACAAATATTATGATTCCACTTATGTAAGGTTCCTAGAATAGGCAAGTTCATAGAAACAGAGCAGAGAATGGTGCAGAGCAGGGCATGGGGGGAGGGAGGAGAATTGGGAAGTTATTGTTTAATAGAGTTTTCGTGTGGAATGATGAAAAAGTTCTAGAAATGGATGGTGGTGATGGTCACACACAATGTATTTAATACAACTGAATTGTACACTGCAAAATGATGCCAGTTATGTATGTTTTATATAACCGGGTTTTTGTTAAAAACAAAAACCTGGGCCTCCCCGGTGGCGCAGCGGTTGAGTGCTGGGTTGCGAAGCTGCCCGCAGCCTCTGCAGCGCCGGTTCGATCCCCGGCTGCTCCCCGGCCACCGGAGGAGGGTCCCACATGGCGCTCAGACCTCTCCTGCTGCCCGCTGCTCCCCTCAGCAGTGTACTTCGGTCCTTCTGCCTGCTCTGCTCCCTGCTCTGGCTCTGGTGAATTCTCTCACCCTCCCGCGCCTCTGACTGTACCCAGTGCTTGGATAAATAAATAAATACATCTTAAAAAAAAAAAAAAAAAAAAAAAAAAACCTGCCTCATGGAACTTACATCTCAAGTTGCAGACCTGAAAAGAGGTTCTTAACATAGGGTTAATTCTCCCCACCTCAGAGCAGGGTGATAAACTGCATACAGGTTCTACAGAATTGTCTGGAGTGGGTGATAGGAGGAGGTCAAGAAATCATTCCCCTTGAATCTATTTTCAATTTAAAGCATGTTCAGGTGAAATTTTATTTGGGAAAAAAGACCACAACATAGATTCATCAATTGCAGTGAATGTGCCATATGGTGGAAGATATTCATAATGTGAGAGGTAGAGGTGGGCAAATGGTATGTAGGAGATCTCTTAATTTTGTTGGAACCCAAAACTGCTCTTAAAAACTATGTCTAGGGAGGGCAAGGCCACTGCTGCTTAAAAACATGTTCTTTTCTAAACCACTACCTGACTTCTTTAAAATGACCACTGGTTGAGCTGTTTCCATGAAAAATAAGCAGGCAGGGTCCACGTTGAAGGAGAGTCTCCTGAGCACTCTGCCGTCAGGTGTGGCTCTGCAAGGGTGTTTAACAGTAGGCAGGGATCAGAGGTGTAAGCAGGGTAAGCCTGGCAGGATAGGGCTCTCAAAGGCCTGCTCACCCTTGCCTGGACTGAGGAGGTTAGTGATTAGTTCCCTGGCCCTATCTTCTCTGCAGGGTGGGGTTCTCAGCTGAGTCACCTCTGGTCTTGCCCAGGGCGGGGTACAGAAATGGCACCTGATTTTGGCCTTGGAAACCGTGGTTCCAAGTCCTCGCTCTGCCCTTTAGAGACACTTAATGTCCCAGCCTATTTACTTAGCTGTAAAATGGAAATGACCTGACTCCACCCATCTCCCAGGAAATGATGTGCCATACCACCACCGGGGACACCCAGCACAGTGCCAAGCATGGTAGGAGTGAGCACAAGAAGCTTTAGTGTTTAGGCCTAAAGTTCAGGAATGGGGGGATCAAGGCCCTAGCTATGGCCAGGAGACCCTGCATCCTTGGACCTGCCCACTGCAGGGTTTCTCCAATCAGTGAGGGGGCCTCAAAATATCTTTTGACGCAGGTATTTCTGAGGTAAAGCTGATTTATTCCATACCATCTAAGAAGGCAAGGAGGTAGGGGGTTGGAGACAGAAACTACTAGGAGGCGTCTGCCTTAACAATAGATTATTACAAAGTATGCATGCATAATTCCTTATGCATCCTATTGTTGACATTTGCAAATGC